TTAAAAGCCCATTAAAATTTCATTTAAGTTTGATTCATTTAAAAAAAAGAAATCTTCAAATTTTGGCCCATATGGAGGTTGCTTAAGCATCCGATAGCTGGAAGTTAAAAACAGTTTCCTTCCATTTAAAAGACATGTCTTACAACCTGAAACTTCTCCAGCGGACCTGTGAAATTTGTGGCCCTTACTTGGCATAGGGGTCTTCTGCAGACAAGAAGAAAAATAATTAAGCGGATTTCTCCTTTAGATTAGCGGCCAGGACCCCTAAAAATCCAAGAAAATGACATAAAGTCATGAGAAAAGAGAAAGAAGAGAAGAAGAGGAAACGGAGACGGAGAGAGGAGAGGGATGAGCGGAAGCCGAGAGGAAGAGGAAGAGAGAGGAGAAGGAAGAGCAAAAGAGGAGGGAGGAGGAGGAGAGGAAAGAGGAGAGGACAAAGAGGACGGGAGGAAACGAGGAGAGGAGCAAAACAAGATTTTACAGAGGAAAAAGGCCCTTGTGAGACGGAAAGCGCAGAGGGACTGCGAGTGGTTATGACCGCTTCCAAAGCCAAGAAAAACATTTTTCAAAGGGTTGGCCAAGCAGCGGACAGTGGCCAGAGTTCTCTCCTTTCAAAAGAGCCCTTAGAAAGGAAAAACCAAGCGCCTTGCCAAAACCTGATTTTGGCCTTCCAGGAACTGTGAGTAATAAAATTTTTTTTCTGCGTTGGTTTTTAAAGCCAGCCAGATTTGGTAATTTCGGATTATGGCCAAACCCTAGTAAAACTAAATGAAACAACTAGGGCACTAATCTCGATAAATTGAAAAAAAACTGTTAAGGTAAAAGGGGGGAAAGAAAAATTTTCCGATTGCATTTAAACCTTGCCTCTCTTCTGGTTGGAATTTGTACGCTTCCAAAGGCAATTAAATACTTAAAATGAGCAAAACAATTCCTTTTTTTATAAAGGCAATTCCTAAAAAGCTATGAAAAAATGCATGAAGCGGAATTTAACAGAATTAAGAAACTCTTCTCTAATGTTGTTAAATTTTCTAATTGATAATAGGATCTTGCTATGGGCATCTATTAAATCAAAGCTTTGCGTAAAAAATCCATTTTAGATGGGCAGCCGGCTGGATGGGATATTTAAAAATAAAAAAGTACAAAAAAATGGATCAGCTTGAAAACCCCACTGATCATGTTAACCATTCACAGAAAAGAAAAAAACAATCAAGACAGTTGGTCTGTGTTGAGGCAATTTTTGCCATAGAAGGGTATAATTATTTCAGCCTAATAAGCGTACTCTGGTTCTAAACCCAAGAATTTGGATTCTGGATAATAACCAGTCTTCAATCAACCAGTTTACATGAAAATTAAAAAAAAGAAAAAAAATGAGGAAAACCTTACTTAAAACAAAACGGCTGCCATGCGCTTGCAAAATCAGATTATGTTTGCAAAGAATAAATCGGTAAATACAAAAAAAAAACAAGGTTGGAACCTGCGATTCTTTCAAAGAGAAAAACAAACAAATAAAACAAAAAGAAGAAAAAAGGTGTGGTGTTATAAAGCATTTAAAAAAAGAGAAAATGAGCATTATTCAACCAAAAAAAATTGCAAAACATTGTGGACCCTTTTTCAAGAATTCTGATTTGAAGAAAAACAAACTTAATGTAAAAAAAAAAGAAACTTAATGCAAAAACAGAAAAAAATGGGGAAAAAATTTTGACAATTGCTATTAAGTTATGAAATAAAAGTTGTTTCAGTGTTAATATGAGGTGATTTTGGTTTATTTTTTGTTTTGGTTTGGTTGGTTGCGTTTTTGTTTTTTGGAGAACAGGGGATCGTCAACTCTGTTGCTTGGCTAGTTGGTACAAGTGCCTTGTTCTCCACAAAGCTTTTTTCAACAGACTCAAAAAAAAATCCTGCGGCGTTTTTTTTCAGCGATTTCCCTGTGTCTTTCAGCTTCCCAAAGTTAAGTGTTACAGGAACTACTGGTGTTGTGCCCACCCATTACCCCAAAGCTAAATTGTCTGTTTTTTTTGTAGAAGACGGGTCTTATTGTGTCTTTTGCTGTAGGCTGGTCTTTGGAAAGACTCTTGGCTTTTTTCAGAAGTAGGTCCTCCCCACCTTTTGAAACCTCCCAAAGTGCCTAATTATAAGCGAAGAAAAAGCCACCATTGCCCAAAGCCTTGTGGCTGGTATTTGTTTTTTTAAAAAACATCGTGTGTTTTGCTTTTTTGGTTCAATTTAGAGATGCGTACATTTTAAAAAAGTTTTAAAACAGCAATTTAAAAAAAAGAAAAAATATATAGAGAGTATAAGACGTTGCTTAAAGAGTTAAAACAGGAAGATTTTGGCAGGAAGAGATTCATGTAAGATGACAAGTAGAAACAAAAAACATTTTACAAAAATTGTTAAAATGGTTGTTAGTGCTGGGTGGGCAAGGTAATACCACTTGACAGTACCACCCTTGCTACTGTTTCTGTGGAATGTGTTTATGACAAGTCCTTCTTGAAGTGTAGAGAAAAGCGGGTGAGGTATAACAGAAGGGTCCAATGGAATTCTACATTAATGATCTGTTCATGAGCAGCCTGATCATAATCCTTCCTTCCCTTCTGTGATCTGCCAGTAAGGTAGGTGATGATTTCTGAAAGATGAAGAAAAGTAAGAATGAAGACACTTGTGCCAATGAGTTACAAAGCTCTGAAATTTCAACTGGGATGCAAAGGAACTGGAATATTTGCTGCAAATAGATTTTGGTCTTTATATGTTCCCTGAAAATTTATGTCAGGTGAGGTTTTATAGGTTAAATACATTAAGACATGCTTCTTACCGCTGACATGATCACCTGGAAGGTGGAGATATAAAGACCCATGCATATGCCCTCCTCAGACCAATTAATTTAGCATCGTGCTGGGCCAATGGGACACAGATATTTACAGTTAAAAAATGTACATGATTCTAATGTGCAGCAGAGGTCTGTGAATCTGGACAGCTGCTGTTCTAACTTCAATGGTGATCATATTTCCTTGGGTGTTTTTCAAGGATGCAGATTCTGGTTGTGGTAGGTTTGCGGATAGGGCCGATAGTTCTACATTTCTGATGAGCTGCTGCCGAATGATCAAGTATATATACCCCATGGTTTTTGTGTATATATGATATGTGTGTGTCGGCCGTGCCGTAGTATATATATGTGTATAGTATTATGCAATATAGTATATCATACATATATATATATATAACAGTGTTTTGTTCCCCTGTTCCTGGCAACAGGCCTAAAACCCTTGGAATCTCTGAAGCTAAATGAGATGCCTGGTGGCTGGGGGCCCCCTAGGTAGCTTTCACAATGTGGGGCTGGTTACCAGGCAGACCAGGGCATGATTAGGCATAATTGGAATGTTGAAAATTTTCTGCCCTACCCCTCATGACCTCTGGGAGGACGAGAGGGACTGCGAGTGGAAATTGAATGACTCTACCAGGTGGCCAATGATTTACACCAATCATGACTACCTAGGAGAAGGGCATTGGACAAGCCAACCAGCACCATCCCCCTCCCATCACTTGCCTTAGGTGTGTCTTCAATTGGGCCTTCCTAAATCATATCTTTTTTTATTGAGCCATTAATGAGTAAATGCCTTCCTGGAGTTCTGTGAATCATCGATTTATGGCAAAATATCACATGAGAGGTTGGGTGGAGAATCTTTGAATTTGTAGCTGGTAGATTGCAGAGAGTACAGGCTGACAGCCTGGACTTAGGACGTGGCCATCTGAGGCTGGTGCCAGTCTTGTGCGGACTGAGCCCTTAACATGTCGGGATTCTAATGCTAGTCAGCGTAAGGATAGTGTCAGAATGAATAACTTCGTGAATACCCAGTTGTTGATGCGGAAAGTGGGAAGCAATTGGTGGTGATGGAAGAAAGAACCCACGACGTTGAGTGTCAGAGACGTTGTGGAGTGAAAACTGCACAGGCCTCAGTACATTAGAAGCCTGGAGCAGTGAGGCAGCCAGGGACCTCAGCGCGTTCTTAGAAGCCAGTGCTGCCTGGGGTCTGGGAGGGAAAGCATGACGGAGAGCGCGGGAGCCAGTTCCAGGCGTCCCTCTGCCTGCTGAGAGCCCTGCAGCCTGGAACCTGTGCCTCCATAAGTCCATCACCCTCGTCTGTAAAATGAAGGAGTGCTCTACAGTCTGCGACTCAACTGTTCCAACAGTGTTGTGCTTTTGAATTGTGCTCTCTACCTTGAGAACTTACAATCTCAAAATGCCATAAGGCAGCAATCCCAACCTTATTGGCACGAGAACCGGTGAAGACAATTTTTCCAATGGACAAGGGTGGGGGGATAGTTTCAGGATGATTCAATGTGCATTGCATTTATGTGCAGTCAAAACCTCTCCCCCTAATGAGATTTATGTTGATTGCCGCCTGCTCCGCCAGCCACTAGCATCACTCCACTCAGAATCACAGGCCATTAGAATTCTCATAAGAGCATGCCAACCTAGATCCCTCGCATGCGCAGTTTACAGTACCGTTTCGCATTGCCTAAGGAGAAATCTAAATGCCACTGCTGATCTAACATGAGGGCAGAGTTTATGCGAATGATGGACCATCACTGGCTGGCCAGCCACTTACCTCTGCTATGGGACCTGGTTCCTAAACAGGCCCACAACCCAATCCAGTCTGTGGCCCAGGGGTTGGGACTGCAGCCATAAGGGCTAAGCAAGAAGGACGCCACACATCGCTAAACCATTTATTACGTTACAGAGGAAATGGCCCAGTGTCAGCAAATCTACTTTTTTCACAAGCAGTAGCAGAAATTACTCTTTTTTAACTTGAAAATTAAAGCGATGACTAGGCTGCAGAAGTGAATGCCCAACCATTTTAAACATATCACCAGTCTCAGAAAAGAATCACATACATATTGTGTTCCTCAGCAGTGCTCATATCCATTTTTTGTATTATTTCGATATCATCTCTTCCGCGCGCCGCCGGTAAGGAGGACAAAACAGGCATCACTTTCTTCATAGGAGCAAACAACAGAAAAAATAAGAAAAACTAGGAGAAGGAATGATATTAAATAAGACTCTGTTAAAAGTATATTCACGGGTAGAGAGTCACCCATAACACTTTAGTTAGTGCTGTTAGCCCGTTTCTGTCTCAATCAAACAGTCCCTGGGGCTGTTCACATCCTCATATTGATGAATTGTTTGTCAACAAGCTCTTGTCTTTCCCCCTCTAGCTCCAAGGTGCCCCACTTACAACACAATGAGGGTGGAGGATGAAAAAGAAGTGCACACTTCCAATGAGGTTCTGATAGATCCAAACAACCCACAGGTAGCTAGGCCTTTTACTTAGGGTGTCGATCCAGCTGTAGATGGAGTGAATGAAGAAAGGCAGACCCCGAAATGGACCACAGTTAACTGAAGGTTTCAATCTGGCACAACAAGGGTGGAAAAACATCTCTAGCACAAGACTCAGATATATTATTTTAGATCATGGTGTCCTTTCTGGGCTCTGGACCTAGAAACAGTATTCTTCCTGTTCCACCCAAACCCCCCTTGAAAAAAGAAATCCTATCCCTCACTGCCTGGCTGGTATGACCTGCACTCCAAGGCCCAGCTTTGGACCAGAGGTATCACCTGATCCAACAGTGGCCAATCCAAAGACCAGGCAGTGACCTCTGCAGTATCTTGGCTCAAAGACATAAATCAGGGCAAGCAGACTTTATTTCTTGGGAACTTGAATTAGGAAATAAGAAGGAGGCCTGTTAGCTGTGGAAGCTGCAATTGGCAACGATGACAAGGTTTGGTCAGTTGTCATGAATGAGCAGGAACCAGAGGGCAACAAGGAACCGGTTAGAAAGAAAGAAAAGAGAGTGGATACTCCAAGAAGGACAAGGACATTGTCAAGCAAAGCAGCCTTCTCTGGAGCCGCTTGAGTTCCTATTGGCTCCAGTTCCACAAGTGTCCTAAAAGTCAACTCCTTTGTTCGTTCATTCATTCATTTGACCATGGGTTATTCTACCAAGCCCTGTTTTAGACAGGCTTTGGGGGTTCCATTTTTTTTGTTTTTGAGACAGAGTCTCACTTTGTTGCCCAGGCTAGAGTGAGTGCCGTGATGTCAGCCTAGCTCACAGCAACCTCAAACTCCTGGGCTCAACCAATCCTTCTGCCTCAGCTTCCCGAGTAGCTGGGACTACAGGCATGTGCCACCATGCCAGGCTAATTTTTTTCTACATATTTTAGTTGTCCCGCTAATTTCTCTCTATTTTTAGTAGAGACAGGGTCTCGTTCTTGCTCAGGCTGATCTTGAACTCCTGAGCTCAAACGATTCTCCCACCTCGGCCTCCCAGAGTGCTAGGATTACAGGCATGAGCCACCGCACCCAGCCGAGGGTTCCATATTAAACAAGACAGACATAGTCTCTGCCCTCCTGGGCTCACGTTCTAATGGGAAAGATGGACAAACAATGAGTAAACAATTAAATAAAGTCTCAAACAAAGGCATATCTAACTGTGAATGGAGGAATGAAGGAAAGAAACTCAGGCCTGAGAGAGAGCAGCTGTGGGGATGGACAGCGGACCAGAAGGGCCATGTAAGGTCAGATCTTGAAAATGACCTTGGAGCTGGGAATCGGAGGGTGGAGGGAAGGCAGCCAAGCAGAGGGAGAGCACTTCACCCAGGGCACCCTGCCTGTGTGGGGAGGGCTTGCTGGTGGTGGTGCTGGAGTGCGGTGGAGCTGAAGGGAGCCGAACCCAGAGGGGTAGGAGGGAGCCAGGTCACTCAGTCTTCCAGTTAGCTTAGATGAAGCTCTGCTGCTGACATAGGGGGTTCGCCTCTCCCCATTCTGGGAAGCTTCAGTTCTTGGCAGAAGTGAGGAAGCTGCTCCTGACTATGGCACTTGACGGGTGGTGACCCAACTAGAATTTGTTCCCTCCCTCGATTGTAGTGCCTATGGTTACCAAGGGAACTTGGATTAAGCACTGTATCAAGCATGTCTTTTTATTTTGATGTTTTCACATCTTTGGTCTTACTGCTCTTCCCAGAGCTAAGCTGCAAAGTAGTTCATATGCAAACCAACCAATCAGAGCCCACACGCCCAGCAACCTACTCTTACAGGTTGTCACAGTCTGGACCACTATTCTCCTGCCCCAGTCACCCCAGGGCTAGGTACCAGAAGCTCAGGACAGTCCCTACACCCCAGAGCCTGCTGAGATTATTCAAATGAGCCCATCCTGAGCCTGCTTGCCCGGCCTCGCCCATTCCTTGCCACGGGAACCACAACATAGGCTCTTTCCTGCATCTTCCCCTCGCTCCCTCTGCTCCTGCCTGATGCTGGTGCTCCCCATGTGGCCAGTGTGGCACTGAGCAGCCCCTCCTCTTGGGAACCCTTAGTAATAAACTATCTTTCCAATGGCAATCATTTCCTGATCTGCTGGCCTCACCATACCTGAATCCTAACACAACCTGCATCTTACATGCTCACCCACCCAGTCTCTAAGCCCTCACCCAGTGCTACCATCTCTTACCTCCAGATGGTGATGGCCAGGGTGCACAGGACACCGGTGAAGGATGGGAAAAAGAGCAAGAAGATGAAGAAAGTCATCATCTGGGAGGCCCGCCAGGCCTTGCTCGGAGGCTGGAAGTTCATCATCAGGCTGATCTGGAGAGAGAGAAGTAGCCACCTCCCATCTGTGGCCAGAGGAGCAGCCAGAGGGGACCCCAGCCAGGCACTGGCTCCCCCATGACCCCTTCCCCGCTCCAACTGCCACCAGGTCACATGTGACTGGGCAAAGCCAATGGGTTGCAACGTTGGACTGACTCACATTTTTGGCGTAAAACATGATGAAAAGAGTAATCATTTGGATAAAGGGCAGCAGAGGGCAGAAGAAGATTCCAATCCTGCGATGGAGAGAGGGTGAGTGTTGGAGGGCAGAGCAGACATGAGGAGTGGGGTGAATATGAGGGTGTGTGGGCTGTTGTGTCTCCCCCAAAATCCATATGTGGAATTCCTAACCCTCAGTACCTTAGAGTGTAACTGTATTTGGAGACAGGGCCTTAAGAGGTGATTGAGGGAAAATGAGGTCACTGTGATGGGCCTTAATCCGATACAACAGTTGTCTCTAAAAGAAGAGGTTAGGACACAGACATACCCAGAAAGGGAAGACCATGTAAAGACATGGGGAGAAGATGAGCACCATAAGCCAAAGAGAGGAGGTTGGGACAGATCCTTCCCTCATGGCCCTCAGAAGAAACTGGCCTGCCAACACCTTGACCTTGGACTTCCACCCCCACAACTACGAGAAAATAAATGGCTGTTGTTTAAGCCACCCAGTCTGTGTTATGGCGGCCCTGGTGAACGAATATAGCAGGGGACTGTTCCCGTCACAGCAAACCAGGCAAATTCCTGCTACACCTGGTGTCCACAGCTGCCCTTTGCCCAGCTTTGGAAAGGAGACTTTGCAGAAAAACCACTCACATGGCCACTGCACCTGCAGATGGCCTTCAGCATGCCCTAGGCTAGCAAGTCCCAAGTGTGGGACATACACTATCCTTCCTGTCCCCTTCCACCTCTTCCAGCCCCATGGTACTCAAGAAGGTCTGAGGTCCTATAGAAACAAAGCATTCAACTGCATCAAGTTACAAATGAGAAAGACATTTCCTTCCCAGCTCTCCTCTCACACTCCTGAGTTCCAAAAGAAGAAAATCTCAGTATAGTGCTACAATGTCTTTAACTCCTAACACTTGCCAATTTCTCATTTTTTTAAAAAAGGAGTAGGCTTTGGATAGAGAGCCTTGGCAGACAGCAGCATCTAGCTAGAATTTAATGACTGTTTGGATGGGATTGCTTTTATTTTTCCAGTTACTTGTGACTTCTGCCAAATGGCACTGGCTTTCCATTAAGGATTGAAAAATAAAGGCTTCTTTTAAAATGTATTGGAGTTTTTTAAAAAGGCAAGCAATTTAAAAGAAAATATTATGTTGATAATAGTATAGGTGATATGTAGATATGCCAAAAAATAGGCAGGCTGGTGTGCAAAAGACTCAAGTCTGGGAAACACGTTCCCCACCTTGCCATCGTCCCTGACACACACTAATTTTCTGTCATTATATTATATTCTTTTCAAGCTTATCATCAAAGGCAATATTCTCCTAAAAACCACAAAGGCTACATCTCTAATTGCCATGGTGAAAGGAGTAGATAGGGATTTTCGATTGTGCTTATTGACAATTTATCAACAAAAACCTCATAGGCCCAGAAGTTATAACAGTCATTTCTATTATAATTTCTTCCTTTGCATCCTCTATCAAATAATCAATATTATGAGGGCTCAGGACCTAGGATTAAAAAGTTTGGCCACAGTGAGGATTCAATAAACGGAGCTATATTATTATTACACTGTGTCATATAATTTACCCACATTATTTTTTAAAAAAATGAAAATAAAAACAAACCCCTTAAGAGTGCTTACAAGTACCATGATTGAGCAATTCCACTTCTGGGTCTACATCCAAAAGAACTGCAAGCAGGACCTGGAAGAACTATTTGCACACCATGTTCATAGCAGCATTATTCACAACAGTCAGAAGGTGGAAGCAACCCGAGTGTTCATGGAGAAGTGAGTGGATAAGTAAAATATGGTCTGTGCATACGATGGGCTATTGTTCAGCCTTAAAAAGGAAATGCTACATCATAGTTGAACAATGAGGACATGATGCTAAGCGAAATAAGCCAGTCACAAATAGACAAATACTATATGAGTCCATTTATATGAGGCATGTAGAGTAATCAGACTCACAGAAACAGAAAGCAGAATGGTGGTTGCCAGGACTATAGGACGGAGGAAATGAGAAATTATTTAATGGGAATAGCGTTTCAGTTTTGCAAGATTAAAAAGTTCTAAAGAATGGCTGCACAACAATGTGAATATACTTATGTAATTTTTACTACAATTTAAAAAAGAGTGCTCATAAGAATAACAACAGTTATAACATCTCCATTTTATACATTTCTTAATCAAGTACATGCTAAGCATTCAGTATATACATTTTCTCATTTAATCCTCTCCCAAACCCTGTAAATAGGTACTATTATCTCCACCATTTGCAGATTAGAAAACTAAATTTTAGAGATAGATTAAGGAACTTGCCCAAAGGCATTCTAGTTGAAATAGTGTGGGTAACCAGTCTTTGTAAGCTGCCAAATTGCCAAGGGGACCTGGCAGTGAGCAAATACATCACCTAACCTACCAAAGGAAAGTCTTCACTATCTCTAAAAATCAATTCACTGACACTGAGTTATTTGCAGACAGCCAAATCACCCAGGGCAACTTCAAAGAGTCAGAAAATAAAATAATTTCCAATTCTATGGCATATTGGAGTTTGCAAAAGCAGCTTTCATCTACCGTGGCATTTAATCCTCCACATGATTCAAAGGCAGCTATTATTATGTACACTTTACAGATGAGATTAAAATCACATTTTGTTTATCCAGTCATTTGTCCAGGAACACTTGAGTTGCTTCCACCTTTTGACTATTGTGAATAATGCAGCTATGAACATGGTGTGCAAATATCTCCTCCAGGTCCTGTTTGCAGTTCGTTTGGATATATATCCAGAAGTAGAATTGCTCAATCATATAGCACTTATAAGCACTCTTTAAGGGTTTTATTATTTGTTTTTAAAAAATAATGTGTGTAAATTATATGACACAAGGTAATAATGATATAGCTCCATTTATGGAGGATCAGAGAAGCTCAGTGACCTTAATGAGTGGCAGAGCCAGCCCCAGAATCCAAGTTTATCCAATTCTGAATCCACTACTTTCAAATTAGCAGCACCTCCCCCATTAGATGGACCCTGGGAATGTGATCCACCACACAGAATTCTGACACTAATTCCATCATGTTAAAGTAAATAAGGAAAAATAGTCACTGCCTATTATTTATTTGAGGTTTCTAGGTGAACTTATAAAAAAATTTATGCAACCAGCTGACTATTCTCAACACACACACACTCACACAGTTGCTAAAACAGAAGTCTCAAATCTCAAAGACTGCAGAGACGCCACCAGATGGCACGTCAGTGAAGCATGGCAAATATAAGAAACATACGGCCCTCTCTGCCTTTATTTATTCCTCACTTCTCTTTGAGTCATGGATGCAAAGTCAAGTCTGCATCCAAACTAACAGCATAAGAGCAATGAGAAATGACAAATCAATGCTGGGAGAAAACAGTTCAGGTGGAAACTATGGAAAACTGGAGATGCTCACCCCAGTTCAAGGCCTGGCCAAATGTTACCATGATGGGAGATGGCCAGATCTTCTGGAGAGAAGCCAGAAATCTAAATTTTATGTGAAATCTCCTGATTCTTAAATATGAGTGGCTGTCTTAGTCCATTTGGGCTGCTATAATGAAACACCATAAACTGGGTGGCTTATAAATAACAGAAAATTATTTCTCTCAATTCTGGAGGCTGGGAAGTCCAAGATCAAGGTGCCAGGAGACTTGGTGTCTGGTGAGGGCCTGCTTTCTGGTTCATATTCAGTGCCTTCTTGCTGTGTCCTCACATGGTGGAAAGGGCAAGGGGTCTCTCTCAGGCCTCATTTATAAGGGCGCTAATCCCATTCATAACGGCTCCACCAAAAACCAAATCACCCCTTAAAGACTCCAACTCCTAATACCATCACATTGGGCGTTAGGTTTCAATGTGTCAATTTTAGGGGGACACAGACATTCCGACCACGGCAGTGGTTAATTAAAATTTTAGAAAAAGCACCATGTGGGACAAGCAAAACAACTGATACTTGTCCAAAGTCCTCAAGTTCTCACATAGGAAAAGAATCATCTAAATGCTAAATTCATGGCTCTCAAACTGGCTGGACTTGGTAACACCTGTGGCAGTTTTACAACCAACAGATTCCAGTGTCTCCCATCCAAGTACTAATCAGGCCTGACTCTGCTTAGCCTCCAAAATCAGATGGGATCAGATGCGTTTGGGGTGGTAGATCCATAGTTAAGATTCTGGGGTCTCGTCACCAAAATGCCAACTCCACAGTCAGGTGGGAACTACTGGATATTTCACAGAGTCGCAAAACTCACCAAACCAGAGTCTGTGCGTAGATCAGTTCTAGAACGTTCCTGGCAATGTCAAACTCCTGTAAGCCAAGGCTTGTAATAAACCGCATCCCAATGATTCTGTGAAAACACACTGGGTTGAGTACCCAAACCATACCCAACACAAACTTCTTCGAAGGACCCCCTCCACCTAAGATAATCAACAAAAGGCACCCTCACAGTTTGGAATAAAGTTTTAAGTTCCTTTGAAAAGTTTTGAAAAGTTCTGAGTATATAAGCCTGCTTTTGAAGAAACAATTGAGGGAATTGAGGGGAAAATGGATTTAATACAATGCAGTCAAGTGGGGTTACCACTAAAATGGTTCCAAAAAAAATTCTAAAATCATTTGTTACCCTAATTATTAAATATTTAGATTATCCCACATGTTATTTGTTTATATCACTCTTTGTTTATTAGACCTTTTTTCATGAACTAGATAAACTCAGCACCTCCCAATTCAAAATTTAAATTTTTGGCTACTACTGTCAAATCAGTATTTCCCTGTTTTCTAAATCCACAAGGAGGAAACCAAGGTTTCCATTTACTCTGAGGAAACTTGAGACCACATTGATTTCTTCATAAAAGAGGAGTTGCCAATAAAAATGTTCTGCCAAAAACCTCTTTTCACCTTTATGTCCAGGCCCTGTACAGAGGCTGGAATAAAAGTGTGTTTTGGCAGAACTGAGTGCAGAAATTTGGCATTGAACCTATCCACTAAGGAAAAATCAACACTGGGTCACACCATCTGATCACCACAGCAGATTGCAGAAATACATAAATGTCTAAAAGGAATCAGAGGCTCATCATGTTATTAAAAAGTCAATGAATGAATAAATAGCAAAGAACTACACATGGGCCAATGATGACAGTGCCTCAGTTCTGTAGACCTGGTATCTAATATAAAAACTAGTGCATTAATCAAATTAAATTAAAACAATGAGCTGAATCTATACGTACTGACATGGGAAAACACCAAGGCATAGTGACAGAATAATAAAAGCAAACTCTACCATGATTTTGCAGTGTGATCCCACTTTTGTTTTTTGTTTTTTTTGGGTTTTTTTTGAGAGAGTCTCACTCTGTTGCCCAGGCTAGACTGCCATGGCGTCAGCCTAGCTCACAGCAACCTCAAACTCCTGGGCTCAAGCGATCCTCCTGCCTCAGCCTCCCGAGTAGCTGGGACTACGGGCATGCGCTACCATGCCCGGCTAATTTTTTCTATATATTTTTAGTTGTCCAATTAATTTATTTCTATTTTTTTAGTAGAGATGGGGTCTCGCTCTTGCTCAGGCTGGTTTCGAACTCCTGACCTTGAGCAATCCACCTGCCTCGGCCTCCCAGAGTGCTAGGATTACAGGCGTGAGCCACCACGCCCGGCCCCCACTTTTGTTTTTGAAAATAATATAGTACTATACAGTATATGCACACATAGCAGTGTGCACATAGAAAAATCTGGAGGAATATAAACTAGAATTTTAAACTATCTGTGGTGGATACGATTTCAGTTGGCTCAGTTTCTATCTTTTATTTTCCCAAAAGAAGTTTGTAAAGGATCAAGTGAACCCAATGAACTATGACAACAGGACTGTTAAGTTAAGGTGAAATTTTAGTTAATTTAGAAGAGAACAATATCCCAAAGGATAATAGGCATACTTAGATCAATGTGCACTCTGAGCACATAAGGGACCTGTGCTTCCCACTCAGCCAGGAATCAGTTTCTGGTTACAGAATCAGGTACTGTTACATATTCATGACAAATGTTTACCTCCTCAGAAACTCCCCCAGGAAGGAATCTGCCAAAGAGAACACGAAATCCATGAGAAGGAGCCGGTAGATTTCCTGGCCAATGAGAGTTTCCCAACACTGGAAGACAAACAAGAATCAGGATGTCAGAAGGGGCTGTGGCCGCAGCTCAACTCCCAGCTGTTCCTGGCTCTATGTACTTGTTAGGAGACAGCTTGACCAAGTCCTTATGTATCCAGAAAAGTGGACCCACTCTCTGCAAAAAAACAGCTGAGTTTGTTTTCAGGGGTGCTTATTCTCTTTCTGGGCTCCTTCTTTCCCCCACCTCCAAGGCTTACCTTCCACATGTACCAAAACTTTCCCTTCTTATGGTCTCCCCTTAAAATGATTAATCTCTGTCCTATCCCCTCTGGATCCCAATTCTCAGCCAGGGCTAATCAGTTTGTTTAAGACAGCAGGCAGCGTCAAAGGCTAGAAATCCACCCACTCTTTTTGCTTATTGACCTTACAAAAAAAATCAGTTAATGTCCCCTTAATTAAGAGAGTGACCAAGAGGTTTAGCATGCTGGTGTAAACTGGAAGTTTGAATTAGTTTGTGGAACTGGTGGTCAGTAACCTCTGCAGGAAGTCAGTACTATCAGCTGATGGACTGGGAAATTTTAGATTTGGCTGAAGGAGGAAGGGAAGTTTTGGATGCACAGCCCAAGGAAGAATGGATGGATGAATGGATAAATGGCTGGATGATGGATGAATATATGGATGGATGGATGAATGGATGGATAAATCAATGGAAGGATGGATAAATGGATGGATGGTGGTTGGAAGAATAACTCTAACTTGGAGGGTTGGTTTTGAACCCCTTTGATAATTAGGGAGAAAAGTTGAAGTGCCATGTTCATGTGAGCTGGTTTGAGTCTGCACACAGCAGTGCTATTTTGGGGCCCAGGAACAAAGAGTGGCAGAGAGTTGGAGAGAGGCCCCAGCTTCCCTGCCTCCACTCCCAGGCCCAGGGCATGTTCTGTACCTGAGGACTCAGGATGGCCATGAGCTGAGGATGGCTGTGTGATGTGGAGGCCCATTCTCAGGGGAGACCTAGTAGCAAGGCCACGGGCATCCCAATGAGAAGGCCAGGAGGTTGGCCTGTTCCTGAGTCCACATGGGACACTGTACTCGGAGAGTGGGGACTGAGAAGCTGTCATCAAGTGAGGGAGGGCCAGGAATGATCAGAGTTAGGACATGAGTGTTACTGCCAGCAGTGTATGCTTGCAGATGGGTAAAAGCCAGGTTACAGGAAAAATCAAGGATCAGACAGGATCTTGTCCAAAACCCAAGGCTGTTAGGACAGATTCACATTAAAATTACTGCCATCTGTTGCATGCATCATATGCTGGGCTCTATGCTTATACTGCACGTGATATTGTTTAATCTCAATTTTACAGATGAGAGAACTGAGGCTCAAAGAGAGTAAGTAACTGCAGATGACACATCAGGTCTTTCTGACTCTGGAACCTGAGCTTCTTTTGTGTAGACCCCTCCTGCCTTGTGTTGTTTTCCAGGTCAACAGCTGTTCTCTCTTGCCACAAGGGATGAATGGCTCTTGAGAAACTCATGTCCTCCCTGGTGGTCAAAGGCTGAGAAACCAAACTTAAGGCAGAACAGCGTGGAAATCTCACCTCTTCACCAGACAGGGCCACGATGTTGAGCCAATAGTAACAAAGAATGCCGATAATTGATATTTTCAGAAAGATGTTTCTAAACAGAAGAGAAAACATTTATCATTACCTTCCATGGCAGGCTTGCCTGCTGTTTGCCAATGCTCCCTTCTGGGCGCATGGTAGGATAGAAATTCCTGCCCCTCTGTAGTTGGATGGGACCATGTGGCTAGTTCTGGCAAATGAATCGTGAGCAGAAGCAATGTGCATCACCCTGTGTCCCTTCTAAGCTGGAGCATTTAATGCCAGTGTGAGCCCTCCAGAACTCCCTGCCTTCCCTTTGGCATAGCAGCCGGCATCATTCGAGGTGGTCGCTGTCTCTCACCCTGGATCCCTCATGGACTAACAGGAGCGGAACCCTCCTGCCAATCCACAATGCATGCACACGAGCAAGAAATACACCTTTGTGTCCCAAGCCTCTGAGATTTTGTGGGTTGTTTATTGCAACATAATCTAATTTATTCTAACTGATACACTCTCTTTTGTTGCATCTCCAAACTATCTGATTTCACTTCCCATTATAATAATAGTAAATGTACAAATATTCACTGGGTTCTGACCCAAAATACTCCACTAACTAAACCTGTTACTGAATCATCTCCCTTAATCGTAACAACTCTATCACCAGGCTGGTGGTATTTTATGCCCATTTTACCCAATCTGCAAGGTTATGGGGTGACAGTGAGGCCTAATATGTTCCCCTTTATACATACTTTAAAAAAAAAGTGGCACCCTGGACTGGTGGGTGGGATGTGGGGAATAATGAGGGTATAGAATTCACCTATGGTCAGAGTTTTCATAATATGCATTGGATATAATTGACTGATTGGTTGATTTGCTTATTGATTCATTCAGCAATTAATCCTGAGCACCTATTATATCCCAGGAACTGTGAACAAGGCAAAGTTTCCCCCATAAACTATGGGGGAGGAAGATAATAAATAAATACATACATACAACTATGTCAGGAAATGGTAAGAACATGGTAATGCAGGGGAGGAAGGGTGGTGAGGAGCTGTTATTTTTATTTATTTTATTATTATTTATAATCAGCTGAATGTGGGGTTCAAGGGCTGTTATTTTTAATGGGGTGCTCAGGGAAGAGCTTTCCAAGAGGGCGATGTTTAAGCAGATGCCAAAATAAAGGCAGAAGCAAGCCATGTGGCTATGTGTGGGAAGAGCATTCCTGGCAGAAAGAACAGCCAGTGCCAACACCCATTGGTGGGGCTGCAGGTTGGCATGTTTGTGAACACCGAGGAGGTCGGGGAGGGAGAAGGGTAGTGGTGGAGAAGGAGAGGAGTAGAAAATCAGGCTGGAGAGCAGCTGGGAAGCAGATGTCCAAGGCCAAGGTAAGGCAAGGGCTCTGGAATGATCTGTAAAGAAACTCAATCTGCACTATACAAACCTATCATTTTAAACACTACTGTAACCAGAAACCAGTCAGCAGGGAACTTGCCAGGGAGAAGCTAGGTCAAAATGTGGGTAGTTTTAGGCTTTATCAAAGCCCTGGTGTCACCTCTAGCACATATGATGCCTTTGTGGGAATCACAAAAAGACACCCCTTCTGAGCCAATGAACTGCCAAAGCACTCCTCCCACCTCTGTTTGGGTGGCTGAGTTACGAAAATGCACCTCTTGCAGTGGGTACCAGGACTCACAGTTTGACTAAGGGGAACATTGGATGAGTGCTGTCCCCACACAACTCCTCAGCTGGGAACATCTGTGCAGAGCACTGCTTCCCCACCTGTACCTCTCATACCTGAGAACTATTAATACGTTAATCTTCAGGCTGGGAGCAACTGAGAAAGGCAAGCCGTTACTTTGAGCAAAAGGCATTTGTATTCAATAACTGTACTTTCTCAGGGCTCCTCAGATTTTATGGCTATCAGCCCACACCACGCAAACACACCTGACTCTTGAAACTCCTTCTTTCTGGAGAACAGAACTTTGATGCAAGTATAACCCTTTCAGGCTCCCACCCGACTTCCCTCCCTGGAAATGGAGGCTGGTGCTGGGCGCAACAGATCACCTACCGGATCAGGAGGATGTAGACTTCGTGCCGCGGCATCTCGTACCTCTCCACCAGCCTGAACATGGAGTAGAAGCGCGGCACGACCAGGTTGATGCAGGACACAACGAAAGGCAGTAACAGCACCGCCCCGGGGTTCTGGTGGGTCTTCAGGAACTGCAAGGGATGGAGGAGAGAACCAAGATGCCGACTGTGCACTGGACCCCTCGCTGCCTCACTGAGAAGGCCCCCACGATGGAAAACACTAGAAGGAGCTCCGCTGTGGTTAACTATCAAGCTACTATGTATTTAGCACTTAGCCTGTTCTACGCAAACTATGGCTCAGAGAGGCAAAGATGCTTGCCCAGGGTCACCCAGGAAGGAAGTGGCAGATGGGAACCAAGGCATGTCTGACCCAGGGGCCTGAGCTCAAACAGTCATTCTGTGGCTTTGTTTTCTTTACCAAAAGTCTGGGGCAATGAAGATGCTCTCCCTCACTATTGGAGGTTAGAAGAGTCTACTGAAGCTACCGCACGAGGAAATACCACCGATCCATGGAACGTCTCCCCTCCTCATGTGGCCTTGTTCGTTTCCACCAGTCCTCACCTGCCTTTGAGGACTGAACTGGGGTGCAGGGGGCCCCTCTGCCAGCCCACGCTGCACCTTTGTGTGAGGACAGGAGGGGCGCTGCACCTCCGGAGGGATGCAGTGCCCTGGCGTTGGGCTTGGAGTAGGGCCTGAGCTGCCCTCTGCCAAGAGTCTTGGGGTAAGTGACTCCAGGGGATTTATCTGATTCTCACACTCCCACCTCCTCCCCTCAAGGCCCGACCCAGCCTCCATCTACTTCAAGAGGGTTCCAAAGCATCACTCGCACTCTTGGCGGTTATCTTTGGAGCCAGGGCAACTTGGGTTCAAATGCCATCCCCCACAAACACACTTAAAGTTGCAAGGTCTGGGGCCAAATGCTTAGCTTCTCTGAGCCCCCTTTCCCATCTGTAAGATAGAGCAATGACAACACAACCCATAGAGACATTGCAAGAATGAAATGAGATCAAACAAGGCAAGGTCTGGCCCCAGGGCTGCCAGGAAATTGTAGTCACCAATGAATGGTGACCACCAGGGTTTGCAAGAGGTTGATTCTGCCTGGCACAGAGCAGATGTTCAAACAGAGGGAATAATTCCATTCCCACCTTCTCTCCTCCTGAGCTGGCCCTCCTCATTTCAGGTGAGCGATAAAAGAGCTTAGAAGTCTGCTTTCAATTGCAGCTGCCTAGTCCCTACTTATACCATAAGTAAGCTGTGTCAGGTCCCTGAAGTCTGAGACTCAATCTCCTCTCTTTCAGGGCAGACCTTAATATGGCTACAGCATACCCTTAAGTTTGTATAATCACACACCCATTTTTTTTGTAGGCTTCTTACTTATTCATCCATTTAGTGAGCACCTACTGTGCACCAGGTGTTGGGCCAGGTGCCAGGAAGAAAGAGACACATACACAGGCATTTTCAATGCTGCTTGTGACATGCAGAGGCAGAAACACCCCACTCAGCCTAGTGCAGGTGGTGGTGGCGAGAGAAGGCTTTCTGGAAGAGGTGACACCCACGCTAAGGAGTTTGCCAGATGAAAGGAAGTAGGGGATGGAGAATGAACTTCATGTTTCCCACCTAAAGACGAGGAAACACACAGTATGTTCAGGGAACTACGGACATACAGTTTAGTATTGTTGGTACGGTTGTGGGGTGTTGAGGCCAGAGATGTGGACAGGAGTCAGATTCTAAAAGATCTGTCAGTCATGTCAGGGAGGACAGGTTTTATATTGAGGGTAATCGGAAGCCATTAAAGAAAGTGACATAATCAGGCCAGCCTGCACTGCAATTCTAGGGGTCGTTAAACTGGATACAATTGGCCCCATTTTCCAGAGGAGAAAGCTGAAACCTACAGAAAAACTACTTTGCCCAGCCCACCCCACTAACTAGTCTTAGAGCCCAAATCATTCATTTATTTGTTTGTTCGTTTATTTATCTTTCTTTCTTTCTCTTTTTTTTCTTTTTTATTATTTTTTTTTATTTTTATACTTAATTTCTTTAAAATTTTTACACCAGTAGTAGGATCAAGGAACTTTCTTTCTTTTTCTTTTGACAGGGTCTCACTCTGTTATCTGGGCTGGAGTGCAGTGGCGTCATCATAGCTCACAGCAACCTCAAACTCCTAGGCTCAAATGGTCCTCCTGCCTCAGCCTCCAGAGTAGCTGGGACTGTAGGTGCATGCCACATGCCCGGCTGATTTTTCTATTTTTTTTTTTAGAGACAGAGTCTTGCTCAGACTGATCCCAAACTCCTGGCCTCAAGCAGTCTTCCCACCTTGACCTCCCAAAGTGCTGGGATTACAGGCATGAGCCACCACACCCGGCCTCAAATCATTTCTTTATCCCTCATGGTACCAGGCACTGGCTGGACCCACCATGTGATTTCTTCCTAGTCCTTACCACACCTGCCTACAAAGGTAGGTAGAATCATTCCTGTTTTACAGACAAGGAACCTGGCCTCGGAAAGATTAAATCACTTGCCAGTGTCCATCAGTTCGCAATATTTATTGAGTATCTACTCTGTGCCAGGGGCTGTGAGAAGCATCAGGGACAGAATAATAGAGAAAGAAACGAGAACTTGATCCAAGGTCTGTGAACAAAGTTCCCATCTCTCCACTAGCCCAGAGCGTCTCGCTCTGCACTGTGCACACCCATCACCTGGGGATCTTGCTAAGATGCGGCTTCTGAGGTCAGGGGCTGGGGCAGCGGGGAAGATCCTGCATTTTCTTAATGCGTTCCCTTCTAATGCTGATGCTGCTGGCCACAGACACTGGGCTGAGCAGCGGGCTCTACACCACTCTCCTCCTCGGCATCCCCTCCCTTCCCCTGGTTCTCTTCACTCTGGCCCCTGTGTTTCTGCCTCTCTGGTTACCTCTGAGTTGTACTCAGCCAGGTAATACACAGCCACGCAGCAGGCGATGGCCACCCCGGCCGAGACGGTCCAGGCGGCCATGTGGGCAGAGAAGTGGCTCAGCTGCTGATGGAGTGTTAACTTGGTGTTCTCCTGACGGATCTCTGACAGGTTCTCCTGGAAACGCAAGAAAGTCAAGTTAACCCACAGAGCCCCTCCACAGCTAGCAAAGATCCCCAGGTGAGCTCCTGCTGCACCCAGAGACACAAACCCAGCCCAAACCCACAGGTGAGAGAGAGAGGGGCAAGTCCATAAAGGACATGGATTATGGGACAGCAGTGGGGGACTCTCAAATGGGCCAAGAATCCACAAACTCCATTTCTGTCTTAGAGGAACAGATGGGACTAACAGATCAGAACCATACTCTTGAGGAAAGTACACTGAGGTCACAGAGCTCTTTCTGGAAGAATACGGCTGAGTATCCACACGGAGGAAGAAGTTAACATCTGCAATCCTCTTGTCCAAGCCCCTTTATTTATAAATTCTACTTGCTCTCTTCTTAATAAGTTTGTTTCTATAGACCAGGGTTTCTCAACCTCTGCACTACTGACATTTGGGGCCAGATAATTCTGTGTTGTGACTGCTGTCCTGTGCATTGTAGGACATCTAGCAGCATCCCTGGCCTCTACCCACTAGATGCCAGCAGCACCCTCCCAAGTTACAACAACCAAAAAAGTCTCCAGACATTGCCAAAGTCCCCCTGGGGGGCAAGATTGCTTTGGGTTGAAAACCACTGCCCTAGAATAAAAATTTATTTATTTACTTTTTAAATTTTTTTCTTTTTCCTTTTTTTTTTTTAGAGATGGGGTCTTGTTCTGTTGCCCAGGCTGGAGTGCAGTGGCATGATCATAGCTCACTGCAACCTGGGACTACTAGGCTTGAGTGACCCTCCTGCCTCAGCCTCCCAAGTAGCTGGGACTATAAAAGCATGCCACCACCCCTGGCTAATTTTCAGAAAAATGTTTTAGGCCAGGTGTGGTGGCTTATACCTGTAATCCTAACACTCTGGGAGGCTGAAGCAGGAGGATTGCTTGAGGTCAGGAGTTTGAAACCAGCCTGAGTAAGAGCAAGACCCCATGTCTACTAAAAATAGAAAAAATTAGCTGGATGTGGTGTGACGTGCCTGTGATCCCAGCTACCTGGGAGGCTGAGGCAGGAGAATCGCTTGAGCCCAGGAGTATGAGGTTGCTCTGAGCTAGGCTGACACCACAGCACTCTAGCCCAGGCAACAGAGACTCTGTCTCAAAAAAAAAACAAAGAGACATGGTCTCACTCTGTTGTCCAGGCTGGTCTCCAACTCCTGGCCTCAAGTGATCCTCCTACCTTTGCCTCCCAAAGTGCTGGGATTACATACATGTGAGCTATCACGCCTGGCCTAGAGTAAAATTTTAAACCTGGAACTGTGGAGTCAAGAAGCATGTTCATCTACCAGTTTGATATAAATCACTAAATTGATCTCCAAAAAGGATGTGCCAATTACAAAGCCACCATGTGATGTGAAAATGTCCATTTCCCTACATCATCACCAGCAGTAGGCATTATGAATATTTTAAATTTTTTGTCAGTGTCATTGGAAATTAAAACAATAATTCATCGTTACTTGAAGAAAAGTTACAGACATATTGGAGAAGGGAAGGATACTGGCCGAAGGAAGACATTGGGTAGAGTGAGCTTGCCTTACCCTTATCTCAGTGCTAAGATTCTTCTGTTTTAGCTTCACAGCTTTTTCATTAGTGACAGTGAAATCCCAGCAAAAGATAAGCTTCGCGATCCCTCTGGAGTAAATGTGGGGGTTAATGAAGTTGTTCCGGAAATACTTGGCCATGCTAGGGAAGGCAGAAACCAAGACACACAAGGGTTACTACGGCAGGCACTGGGGAGTCCAGGGATTAAACAAAGGACAATCCTGTCATTAGTGGTGAAGGCAACATGGAAGAGTCAGCCCCAACTTTCGCATGGAGTGTGTGGCCACAGCATACTGGTTAAGAGCACTGGCTTGGGGATCAGTCAGGCCTGGCTTGACATCCTGGATTTGCCAATTGAGGGATCTTTGTCCTATTAACTTTTCCGAGCCTCATTTTCCCCATCTGTGTAATGGAGATAATTCACCTCACAGAGTTATTATGAGAATTGTATTCGTTTGCTATTGCTGCTGTAACAAATGACCACCAACTTAGTGGCTTAAAACAACACAAATTTATCTTATACTTCTGGAGGTCAGAAGTCAGAAAATGAGTCTTACAGAAGAGCTAAATGAAGGTGTCGGCAGAGCTGTGTTCCTTCTGGAGGATCTGAAGGAGAATCCATTTCCTTGCCTTTTCTGGGTTCTAGAAGCTGCCTGCATTCCCTGGCTTGTGGCCACCTCCTCCATCCTCAAACCAGCTGAGTAGCCTCTTCCATCTCTCTCTCTCTGACCTCTTGCCTCCCTTTCATAAGGACTCTTGAGATTCCACTGGGATCGTGTGGATAACCAAGGATCCTCTCGCCATTTTAAGATACTTAATCACATCTGCAAAATCTCTTGGCCACGTAAAGTCACGTTTTCAGGTTCCGGAAATAAGGACATGGGCTTTTTGGGCAGTGAGGGGAGATTATTCAGCCTTACACAAGGGTCAGTTCGGCATTTAGAGCAGCAAGCATTTGATAAAGGTAGCCGTTACTATTATGGGATACCTCAGGCTAAGCAAGCACTTAGCATGGAAAACCTGGCACATAATTAATAAATGCTGAATAGAATGGATGCTGCTGTTGTGAAATTTCCCACCACTCAGTAACGGCAACTTAAAAAACATTTCCTAGTTCCATAAGACAAAACGAAATTTCATTTTTAGTTTGAATTCACGTGCTGGCAGTGAGGTGGTTACGGGTGGAATTGTGTCTCTCCTAAAGTCCATATGTGGAAGCCCTAACCCCCAGTACATCAGAATATGACTATATTTGGAGCCAGGGTCTTTAAAGCGGTAATTAAATTTAAAATGAGGTCATTAAAGTGGGTCCTAACCCAATATGAATGGTGTCCTTATAAGAAGAGATTAGGGCACAGACACATACCGAGGAGAGATCGTGTAAAGACACAAGGAGGAGGAGGTGCCATCTACAAGCCAAGAAGAGAGGCCTTAGAAGAAACCAACCCTGCCCACACCTTGATCTTGGACTTCCGGCCTCCAGAACTGTGAGAAAATAAAGCACCAGTTTGTGGTGCTTTGCACCCCAGCAAACTAACACAGAGGTTGAACATTTTTCACACATGTGTTTTCCATTCATACCTCCTCTCTGACACTGTCCATCATATCCTCTCCTTACCATCACATCTGTATTGGCAGACTGAGCCATTCCTTTAAAAGCACACGAAAACCTCTCTTCCAAACTCTTATTTTATATTCCAGGACAAGGCATAGAAAGCCAAAATTGCAGAGAAACTGTTTCCTGGGTAATTTTCGAGTTTCTTGGATTTTTGCTTAAATCTGAAGTGAGCCCCAGGGTCAGGAAAGGCAGACACCCCGTACCTGAACAGCAAACTGAAAAAGCAGACAACCAAGCAGAAGCCAACTGTGAAGATGTAGGCCAGCTGCATGTTGTAGGACACCCCGCTGCTCCCGTGCCGGATCGTAGAATTGGTGTAAAAGCCATAGTACATCACCGTGTCCCTAAAATAACCCTGAAAGGGACAATAAACCCTAGGTTAGGTGGATCGCTTGAAAAAATGATAAGTGACTACGGTCGACAGAGTTGACCTCTTCTGAATACAAGAAACATGGGCCAGTTAGTTTAGATGTTTGGTTTTCCACGAAAGGGGCACCCGAGGCCACTGAGAGCCTAGACCTTTTGTCGCTAGTCTCTCAGACTGGGAAGGGAACCCCAAACCAACATCACTTCACAACGGAGACATTCAGCTGTCACTACCTGCACCCAGTGACCAAGCAAAACATCACCAAGAGCAGGAGAGCCGGGCACTACACGCCTCTGTCACCTATTAAGTATTATGGCCAAACATGCTAAGTAGGAAACAAATCAAACCTTTAGGTCTACATTTCTGTTCACAGGGCATAAGGAGCCAGAAACACAAGTCTGAGAAACACGAGGAAATAATCAGACAGCTCCAGAAGGTAGGACGTTGGAAACTACTAGACAAACTGGTCGGTTTCTGCAACAAGCCACTGTCAGGGGAAAAGGGTGCCAGGACTGGAAGCTTATTCTAGAGTAATAGAGTTGTAAGGGGAAAAAAACAACAGAATGCAAAAATCTGGTCTTTGATTGAATCTGGTCTGAAAAAGCAAATAATTAGAAATTTTGTGGAAAATTGGGAAAATTTGAATATGGTCTAGATTTTAGATGATATTAATTTTTAATTTCATTAGGCATGCTAATGGTATTGTGACCACAGAAAAGTGTCCTTATTTTTCAGAGATGCATGTTGAAGAATTTCAGAGTAAAATGTCCTGATATCTGTAATTTATTTTACAGATGCTTCCAAAAACAATAAGATAAAACAAATATGGCAGTTTAAAATCTACATAGTAGGCAGATGGGTGTTTATTATATTGCTCTTTATTTTTCTGTATGTTTGAAATTTTTCCTAGTAAAATGCTCCCTATATACGAATATATAAAATAAATATAGTAATGAGAAAAAATGAAGGAGAAAATTTACACAATAATCCCATTTTAATGCATCTACTCAAGGAAAGTTTTTTTAAGAGAAAAAAAAGACAAATGGAAGAACCCTACTTTGAACAATCTACTGCAGGGATTGGCAAGCTTTTTCAATAAAGAGCTAGATAATAAATATCTTTGGTTTTGTGGGTCATACGCATCAGCTACTGCAGTTATATCGTGAAAGCAGCATAGATGACATATAAATAAATGTCTGTGGCCCTGTTCCCAAAGAACTTTACTTATGGACACTGAAACTTGAATCTTATATCATTTTCATGTTTCACAAAATGTTATCCTTCTTTTGAATCATTTTAAACCACTTAAAATGTAAAAACCAACCTCAGTTCTCAGGGGATACAAAATCAGGAGACAGGCTAGATTTGGCCCTCGGGCTGTAGTTATAGAAACTGCTCTATAGCATCTCAGTGGCAGAAATCTCTTCTCAAAGGTAAACACACAAAGCAGAGGTTATATGCTTCCATAGGGAGCTGGGTAAATAAACTATAGTTGCTGTTAAAAAAGAATAATGTGGATGTATAAAAATGTTCAAGATATATAGTGAGCTAAAAAAGTTGCAAAATAAGACTTGCAGTACAATCCTATCCTTTATTTTTAAAATAATGATTATGTATCTATCATCTATTTATCTATTTATCTATCATCTATTTATCAATGTCCATACGGGAAGAAAAAACAGTTTACGAAGATACATCCCAAACTGGGGAGTTGGACAAAGGAAGAAAGGTAAAATGGACTTTTTCTTAATTCTCTTCCATAGTAGGAATTTTTCAAAAGGAGCATTGTATTTTGCAGAGATAAAAATTAAAAAGGAAAAAAATGTAGATCTACCAACAGTAGCATGAGCTGTCTACTACATATTGTTAGGTGAAAGAAAGCAGGTTGTAGACAAAATACAACGAATAATTCATCTTTGGTGAGAAAAGAAAAGGACTTCTGTGTACATGCACAGATGTGTCCATATGTGTGCCAAAAAAAGAACAGTATGGACAACAGCACAGACTGTGCCCAGTAGTTACCTCTAGAGACAGAAATGCCACTAGGATGTGTATATATTACTTTGGGGAAAAAAACATTTTAAACACCCACTTTCCCCATCCATCGACCCCCAGGCAAAATGAGAGCTCTGAGTGGATGACCAGCAAGGTATGTCCCTGGGTTTCTGAGCCGGTGAACTGGGAGGTCAGGGAAGTAGAAAACTTACTGCCCCAGTCAAAAACTCCAGCCCAGTGAACGGAAGGGTGTTCTTTTCGGCCACGGTGAGCTGAGGGATTACAATGAAGCTGAAGTTCACGATGAACGAGAAGATGTTGAACTTCAAAAGCCACCTCAGAAAGTTGAAATAAGAGAGGACACTGGTTCCGAACTTGCCTCCGATGACCTTGAGAGTCTTCTGCCACAGGCTGACGGTATTGAGGAGTTCCGACAGGCTGTTCTTGGATCTCTGGTAAGTCTGGAGTTGGGATGCAAAGTGAGAGGCTTAATAGTCACTCAACAAACGTATACTGAGAGTAGGTACCCTAATAGCAAAAACAGCTGCCGTTTCTAGAGCACCACGACATGCCAGGCATGGTGCTAATGGAACATTTACAAATAGTATCTCATTCAATCCTCATGACTACCATCTAAGGTGGTGACATTATTAACTTTCCATGTTTGCTGTCTAAGAAGGTGCCGCTCACGCTGGCCAAGTTGGCCAACGCACACAGCCCACCTTGCTTCTCCACACCGCTCTGGACCCAATGGCTCTGGGCCATGAAATCGCCCTGAATTTCAATTCCTCTTTCCCTTGGGTCCCCTCTATCTTCAACCGTCTCCTTCCCTGTTTCCACCCTCTTGCTGTGCCCATTTTCCTGACTGTAGTAAAGGCCAACTTACCCGTGAAATGGAGTCTAGACACTGAGCACAGCAATTGGGCTTGAAGATACGATGGGACTGTTTACTTTTTTCTTTATCAACTATTCTCCTGTGGGCAAAAGCAGGAGATGAGAGATACCAATGCTATAATCCATTCATTCAAGAAATAGTTCCTTAGCGCCTATGATGTGCCAGGCATGGTTCCAGGCGGTAGGTAAAAGAGCAATTTCTCTGGCTCATGGAGCCAACATCCTCTTCAGAAGAGAAAGACAACAAATAAACATGATAATAAAACAGGTAAACTATATAGTATATTAGAAGGTGATTTGTACCATTAGAAGGAAACAGAAAAAAACAGCAGAGTAAAGAGATGAGAAACGATGGGGGACAGTATTAAAATTTGAAATACAGTGATATCTGAGGTCACCCTGTTTAAAGGAGAGGAAGGACTAGTTGTATGGATAAGGCAATGCCCCAGGCATATAGGACAGCCAACACAAAGCCCCATGTGGAGGCAGAACAAGGAGGCCAGGCTGGAACAGAATGAGCAAAGGGAAAATAGGAGGATATGAATGATAACATTGGCGAGAAGAGTGTCCCTATAAGTCAGTGGTTCTTAACCTGGGGCGATATTGCCCCCTGGGGAACAATTGACAATGCCTGGAGACTTTTTTGGTTGTCAAACTGGGGGAGGTTTTTTAGTTTTCAACTTTTTTGGTTGTCAAACTGCTCTGGCATCTACTGGGTAGAGGCCAGTGATGCCACTAAACACCCTGCAAGGAACAGGACAGCCCCATGTGGCCCTACGATGTCAGCTGTACTGAGGTTGAGAAATCCTACAGTAAGGTCTTTGGTGCCCTTATTCCGTGACACAGGAGCTGCACTGAGTTTGAAATGGAAGAGGGTTTTGAGAAAGACACAGTCACAGTTGGTGGCATTATCCTTCCATGAACTCACTGCATCTAATTTGTTCTGGTCCTTTCCTGGCTTTCTTTAGTCCACTCAAATGCCCACCATCCCCTGCCCCATCTTTCAAAGCTCAGCTCAAGTCTCCCTAGCCCCTGTTTTGCCCCAGAAGATTGGGGCAGACCAGACCTTTTTGGTCCTCCCCTTGCAATCTCTTTCCACCTTGATTGGGCCTGACTTTCTTTCGGACATTCATGAGTTACTCGTTGACAAATCCCTGCCTGGCTTTGAAATTTACCTGTGAAACCTCAGGATAAACTAAATCCCTAAATCATTTCTTAGCCATTGTTGCCTCCACTCTGCTAGTTTCTTCCAACTATTACAAATTACAAAAAGGAAAAAGAAAAAGATTGAGGAAGAATTAATGTAACATCTAAAGGCTAAAACAGCCCTCACCCTTGTTTTTCAATTCCTGGGCTTAGAAATCTCCTATAGTCTTCTTCTTCTTCTTCCTTTTTTTTTTTAAAGTAAACTGTTTATTTTAGAGTAGTTTGAGATTCACAGTGAAGGGGCAGAGGCATTACAGAGCATTCCCATATACTACTCACTTTCCGTGGTAAGTTAATCAAAACTAAGAAACCAACATTGGTACATTGTTATTACCTAAACTCCAGGTTATTCAAATTTAATATTTTTCCCACTGATGTCCATTTTCTATTCCAGAACCTCATCCAGACACCACATTGCATTTACTTGTCATATCTCTTTAGAATCCTCTAGGCTAGGACAGTTTCTCAGACTTTCCTTGTTTTTGATGACTTAGACAGTTTCAAGGAGTATTTTGTAGAATGTCCTTCAGTTGGAATTTGCCTAATGTTTTTCCCTGTTTTGACCAGGGTTATGGGTCTTAGGATACAATACCACAGAGGGAACATGTCGTTCTCATCAAATGGCTTATCTCTGGGGACATTAACCTTGGGCACCTGGCCGAGGCAGTGTTAGCCAGACTTCTCCAATGGAAAGTTACTCCCCTTCCTTCCATACTCTACTCCTTGGGAGCAAGACAGCAAGCTCAGCCCACACTCCAGCCATGGGGTGGAAATTAAGCCCCAGCTCCTAGAAACAGGAGTACCTATGTAGATTATTTTAAATCCTCTGTAAGGAAGATTTGTCTCTTCCCTTGCATTTATGCATTTCTTATCTCTTTGAGATGGGGCAAAAATAGAAGATTGAGGTTCACATAAAATCTGGGAAAGAAGAAAGTGCTTCCATCCATACCTAAGGTTCCTTTTCTCTTCCATGGTTCTTGGCTGGTTCCTGATGGCTTTAATTCTGTCTCTGGATGTCATGGGTATCAGAGATGCAATTAACTTTTGTCCTGTGGGGGGTGGGGGGGAATAAATGGAGTTTCATTTCTTTTTTCTTTAACAGAATCATAACATTTTAAAATATGGTGCTGAATGCTAAAGTTAGGGAGTATTTTTATAAGAGCACAAGGAAAGAAGAATAGGTGGACTCAGGAATCCCAAAGATCACAGAGAAAAACAACAAAAAGATATATATGTGCTCAAAGCTACAGCCAATGAGAATGGTTGCACTCTATTTCAATTCAATATTTTTCTCTTTCCTGTGACCAAAAAAAAAAAAAAAAACATTTTCCAAAGCCAACAAGATCCTGCATGTTTGGTCAGCCTACCCCTTCACTCTCACTTTAATATCCCACATTGCTTCCTTTTACCCCCAAGCCCAGCCCAAGTGCTTTCTTTACCTTCCTTGACTATTGTTATATGTTCTTCCACCTAACTGTGGGACCCCCTTCTATTCTACCACTAATTCACATTCACATTTTTGGTCATGGTGGCAGATGCTGCCGGTCACCTACCCCAAAGTCATTCCCTCCTTGTTAATAGAATCCCAACTGTATTTAGAAATCTACCTCCTCTCTTACATGGCACTGAGCTTCCTTGGGGGTGGCCCCATCTCCAGGCACAAGGAGCAGGTCTTAGACTCAGTGAGTCCAAGCCAATCCAGTAGTTCTGTCCCCACCCCCAACCCTGTGCAGATGACTGGTTTCAGCACAGGCACGTGACACAGTGTCAGCCAATGTTCTCTGAGGGGCAGTCTGCTGAGAAGTTTCTTGGAAAAGCTTTCTTCCTTCTCCAAAAAATCAAAAAGCAAGAAAAAGACAGGTCCTTCTTCCTCTGAATATTGTTGTGTCTGCATGTCAAGCCTGGAACGCCGTCACCATCTTGTACCAGGAGGGAGCTAGCTGGGGTCCCGTGGGGGAGTGACCTGCAGTGGGTGGCTGAGGAACAGAGGGAGCAGGCTGGCTCCTTGTGCACAGCACTGAGCTGGAAACCCCATGAGGGAGTGCCGCATTCATCTTAATGATATGGTTGAGGTAGAAGGGAACTCTCTCAAAGAGGGCCACCACGTCACTCTGCTGGAGACGAGGAACTTGTGTCTCTCCTGAGCAGGAAGGGTGAGTAAACGGAGAGGACAAAAGAAGATGGGAAGAGGGGGAAATGCAGAGATGCAGGGAGACAGCAGCACGAGAAGAGATGCCCCAACCTTCTTCAGCAAAAGAGCTAAACTCCCTGGGATTTTTCTCTTCTCCCAGAAATCACTGGGGGCTGTTAGACATTATGTCTGGAATATTATGGAGGTACAACAGGAGCATCATCCCTGTTGGTGTCGGGAGCAGAGAGGATGGGAGGTCTCAGCTAAGACCTGGTTTCCTGATAGACTTGGCAGCAAGAGGCATCCTATCTATCTATGTCGCCTGAAGCCAGGATGAGGAATCCAACCAAAGTGGGACAGTACAGTGGCAAGGACTCTGGCTTGGGAATCAGGCAGACTTGCATTTGGGTCCCAGATCTGCCATGTCACTGAATTTCTCTAAGCCTCAGCTTCCTCATCAAGCAAATGGAAGTGCCTGCCTCAAAGTTACAGAGTGTGGATAGTAAACAAAATCAAATGTGATGGATAACAAAAAGCAGGTGCATGAAATAAGCTTGATCAAGGTAAGCTCTGTTAGTAGAGTGTTCTCAAAGTGGTCCCTTTTTTCGTCCCCAGGGTCCTCTTAGTTCACCTACAAAACATTCCACGTTACTGGATGTCTTAAAAGTAAAAAACTTTGTGGAGAACTTGGCAGCCTTCTTGGCCACCTCCCTAACCTCTCTTCCCCAGGGTCTTACTACCTTGAATGGTTTCACGTGAAGAACAGGGAGTGTCCACACCCACGCATTCTGGGCTATGAAGGGTCTCAGAAATCGACTCATTCAGAGATGTTGAAAACCGTAACAATTGGTTACCCTTCCTGTCATTCCTTTTGCAGAAAACCTGAGAGTCTGTCACGTCGATATCAGACAGTGATGAAATCATGCTGAAGCTTGAGTTTAGCCGTGCCTTTTCTTGATAAATCTGATTTGAGGATGGATGGCTTTGGACCCCGGATGAAACATTCTCAACCTCTATGACAATTTCATTCCCGTAGTCTTCAGACAGCATCTCTTGCCTCCTGCAAAGCCTTGTTCTTCCCCGGGATGGGCTTCCAAAGCCCTCACACAGCAGTCACACCGGCATTCTGGGCACTCCCGGGGGAAAGTGACGGTAGCCACAAAGGGATGCACCATTCACATTTTTTTAAATGCCTGGATGAGACCACCAAAGCCCGCCCCACACGTTTCACAACATAACTCCCCACATGCACCCCCAGAGGGGTCTTCTCTGGAGGAGGTGTGTTTTTCTGCAGAGAATTCTGTCTTGGTAGCTAGGCAGGAAATCAGAAACAGAATCTCCATGTAAGACAATAAGATTCTAGAAACAGAAGAGGTTCTTCAAAATGACTCATAATCAAAGGGCAAGATTTTCTTTTTTTAATTGAGTGCCACTGGCCTAACTTATATTTTATATGTGTAATTTTTACATGCCTATATGAGTCCTGGAGGATTTATAATGATACAGTTATCCTCTCCTGCCTGTTTTAGGGGTAGACACTGCTATTGTCTGCCTCCAGTATCCATTCTCCTTTTTTCTCATATTAATACCAGCAGAAGCTTCATTTCCTGGGTGGACACCATGCTCAGTTAAAATTCTCCCAGCTTCCTTTGTGGTCCCGGGTGGACCCTGGGCTCAGTTTTAGCCAATGAGACATGTGGTTTCCAGGAATGGTATTTAAAAGGTGACAGTTTGCCCTCCAACACTTCTCCTCCGTCATGTCTGGACACAGCCATTTTGAAAACAAGGGGACGGACATTCACCTGCGAAGGACGGTGGAGGAAGAAGCTATGGAAGGAGCTTCATCGCGGCTCCTTGCGGGCATCATGGCTGGAGATTGTGGACTCCCTCCTTACTCCCTGTGACACGGGAAGCATAAACCCCTCTATTGCTAAGCCACTGTTCTATTGAACACAATTCCTATCCAGTAAATCTGATTTCAAAATCACCTCCGCCAAGTTATTGATTGGCTAGCTGGAGAAACTGAGGTGCAGACAGATGAACTGAACCACCCTCCCCCTCGCACTCTCCCTAACTGGCAGGATTGGGCTAGAACTGCAGTACTCCTTCTCCCAGCAACAGTAATTAATGATAACGATTCCTGCCACTGCTACAGGCCAAGTACTTTAAACAGAGTATGACATTTGACTTTCACAATCACCTTATGAAGTAGGTACTGCAATCAACCCTATTTTATAGCTAAGAAAACTGAGTCTCAACAAGGTAATTTGCCTGAGGTCACAAGACCAGCAAGTAGTCGAGCCGGAGTCAACCCCAGGTTGATCTGAACATCTGAACCCAAAGTAAGAGCTCTTTTAGTTTAGTTTAGGTTTTTTTTGTTTGTTTTTTTTTTTTTTTTTAGTCAGAGTCTCCCTCTGTTGCCTGGGCTAGTATGCTGTGGCATCAGCCTAGCTCACAGCAACCTCAAACTCCTGGGGGCTCAAGCAATCCTCCTGCCTCAGCCTCCCAAGTAGCTGGGACTACAGGCATGCACCACCATGCCTGGCTATTTTTTCTATATATTTTTAGTTGGCCAATTAATTTCTTTCTATTTTTAGTAGAGATGGGGTCTTGCTCTTGCTCAGGCTGGTTTTGAATTCCTGACCTCGAGTGATCCGCCCGCATCGTCCTCCCTGAGTGCTAGGATTACAGGCGTGAGCCACTGCGCCCGGCCAATGAGCTCTTAATCACTTCACCCTGGCCTTTTCCTGTAATAAGATGGTGATGTATCATCCATCCATTCATTCATCCATGGATATTTATGAGTGCCTACTATGTGCCAGGTGCTTCCTAGGTGAACAGCATAATCAATCAAAGCTATTAATGCATTTTATCACGACGCTGTCTATCCATTATTGTACATGGTTTGAGAATCAAAACTAACACAAAGCAAAACAGTGAAGACAGCCAGGTTCATCTCTGAGTCCTCTATTTCTAGGGCATGGAAGCTCTGCACCCCTTTCCCATATATTGCCCTATGCACCTCTGCAACTGTATCCTTTGTGACATCCTTTATAATAAACCAGTAAATGTGTTTTTTTTCCTGAGTTCTGTGAGCTGCTCTAGCAAATTAATCAAACTCAGGGAGGGGCTCATGGGAACTCTAACTTAACGCCAGTTGGTCAGAAGTTCCAGAGGCCTTTCAACTGGTGTCTGAAGCTGCGGGCAGTCTGGTGGGACTGAGCCTTCCCCCGTGGGACCTGATGCTGTCTCTGGGGGGTGTCAGAATTGAATTGGAGCATGCCCAGCTGGTGTTCACTGCAGAATTGATTGTTTGCTCGGTGTGTGGGGAGAAACCTCCATACACTTGGTCACAGAAGTCTTCTGTGTTGATTGTTGTTGAATAAAAGAATGAAAAAAGGAGTGTGTGGTTTTTCTTTTCACATAATCCCCAAGCTTCGGGTTGGCCAGACAGAGCAGTCTTACCAAGTTTCAAGGCTTTTCTTCTCTCTGACAGTTAAAGCCATTCTCCGTGCCAGCGGGAACCAAATGGAGAGTGTGATCATTTATATCCCCACGGTTTTCCCTCCCAAGTAGCAACATCTACCTCTCGAGAAGGCTATATGCCTCCTCTAGAGGGCTCTTGAAGGCTGGGGCTATGGTTATCACACTGGCTCTGGGGATGGGAGGCGAGAGTGTTTTAAGTCATGGGGTCCCTCAATGTGCATTAGTGCATAAAGGACCCTATCGGTTTATTCGCTGTTGTTTACAGACTTGCTTTTGGCCCCAGCATTTCCTGGCTCTCTCCTCTGTTGCTTCCTTTTCATGTCTCAGTCTCTGCCTCTGATTAGACCTTCATCGCTTTGCACAGCAATACATAGAGAGCTTCCTAGCCGATTTCAAAGCCTTCCATCTTCCCCCAGTCTGATTGTTTCCACACTGTACTGTCATAATAATTGTATGATTATTGAGGAAAATTCTGATCAATGCACCTCATCCATACCAACACAGGTGACCCGGTCTCGTCCCCTGTGGTAAAAACGATGGGTCCAAGTGTGGGCATATGCTCCCAGTAGGGCTGATCAGAGTCCTTCCCCAGCACTGGGGCACGGACGCAGGGAGAAAGAAAGGCTTCCTAATGAGGTAGCCAAGCTGAGGGCATGTAGGGGCCTGCAGACAAGGCCTGACTCCAACGGAGATGAACAAGGTCAAGCTTTCAGGGGAGCTGAGTCAAGCAAAGATGAGAAATGGGTGGAGAACAGGAGAATCCGGGTGGCACTGGCTTCTGTAACTCATTCAACGAATTAAACCAGCAAATATCTCTAAAATACCTACTACGTCCCAGGCACTGTCCTAGGTGCTGAAAGGTATTTCTACTTGCAGTTCTTTAAGTTTCCGCCATACGCTTCCCCCAACGTGAGCCAATAAATTCCCCTTGGCCCAGTGCCCATCTGAGTTGAGTTTCTGTCACTTACAACCAGAAGGTTCCTAATGAAGACACTCGGATACTCAGAAGAAAAAAAACTATATGCCTAAAAGAAAACTCCATTGTGATAAATTAAGCAAGTACTGTATCAGCAACAGCACCAGAGGCCAAGAGGAAATGGCAATAGCTAGATTGCCTTGCACACATTCCTTCTCCAGCATTCACTTTTTGGTCTTTGGTCACTGTGTATTAAGCCTTACCTTGGGGTGACTCGTGCCAATCACGTTCAGACAACGGTGGGTTTTCAAAAGCATGGACAGGACTACTTTCCCCTACGAAAGCAGGGTTCACTGGAAGGAAGAGGAGGGAGACATTGCCAGTTAATCTCACTGCACTAGATGTTACTGAGCGTGCAATGGTTATGATGTGTCAATAACGGTCAGTAATGGGTGGTAAAACTGAGACCTTGCCTGTGACGTTCTAATCAGACCAATAATTAAGAACTTGGGTTACATGTCATGAGTTGTTCTAAAAAAAATAATAACTTGGGTGGAAAATAGGACAAAAATACACAAACGATGCTGTTAAATATAATCAGCCTAGATCAACGGTTTTCACTTGATGATAAGCCATAGCTAAAAATAATTGTTACATTGAGATCCAGGACACACCTATACATACAGAACTGAAAAATAAGTTTCACAAAACAATACTTTGCTTGACTACATAAACTACACCATTAAATACTCTTACTCTATTCCACTTTTCATTTTTAAAAATTTATTTCACAACTTGTTAATGAGCTAAACTCAGAGTTCGAAAAATTCTTGTCTAGGTGAGTGCAGAGGTTCCCTCCAGCTCTGGCATATTATGATGATACATGAATAAATTTGAAATGTGGCATGATTTCCTCAGGCACAGAGTCTACTCTCAGCATTGACACAAGAGTGTCACACTTCAATATATTTTTATTCAACCTATGGTGAATGTTAAACGTAAACACCTCAACAGAGAAAACGGACCACATTTTGATGGGAACCATACAAAAAATGACACTGCAGGAGGTTCTGAAACTTTTTGCCTGGGAATGATTCCTGGTCCTGTTACTTACTAGCTGTGTGCCCCCAGACATGTTACTTAACATCTCTGAGCGTCAATATCTTGGTCTCTAAAATAGGGATCATACTAGGAACTTCACATAGGCTTGGGGGAGTTGAATCAGTTAATACTTGCAAAGTGATTCAATAATCCTGGCACATAGTAAACTCTTAATATATATTAACTATTGTGGTAGATTAATTGTTATTCAGCAAACATTATACTTCCCCCACCTTGGCCCCCTCTGTTGATGTTGGGCTTGGTCCTGTGACTTGCTTTCACCAATGGAGTATGGCAGAAGTGACTGTGTGCCTGTTCCAAGCCAAGACTTTTAAAGACATTGTGTGTTTCTGCTTGCTACCTCCAGCTCATGCCACAGGAAGAAAATGCTGTAGGTAGCTCACAGGTCCAAGAAGAAGGGCGCTAGACCTAAACAGAACTCATGACCAGGAGCCAAGACAGCTAAACTCAGCCTCGTTCAGCCAAGCCCCAACGAATCCTGCAGATGTGTAAGTGAGAAATAAATGCTTGTTTATTGCATGACTCTGGGTTCAGGGACTTGTTTGTTATGCAGCACTCCTGTGGCAATGGCTAACTGATACAACTCTGATAACCATTGCTATTAATTCTGTTAGCATTTCTCAAGTGCCTACTCTGTGCCAGGCACTGTGACACTAGGAAGATCACCTAGATACATAGATTAACACACATTCTTCTTAAGGAGTAAATAGTTTATCAGGATCTGGTGTAGTGGGACAAGTGATTGCCAAGGGCTACAACCTTTGTCTTGCAAAGGAGCCTAGAGAAGGAAGCCACACTCAACTGCTTTTTTTTCTCCCCAAAAGCATTTTCATTTCCTATGTTTTACAGGGCCTGGTGATCAGGAATCTGTTCATCTTTGCCTGGATTCAACCCAGTAGTAACACAGTGTAAATAAGAGGTTAGGCCTTGGGTCAGAGAGACTGGATTCAATCCTGACTCTATTGATTTAGTAATTGGGTGACTTTGGGCACGTTTCTTTCTGAGCCTGTTTTCCCATCTGTTAAATCAAGGAGAGCAGTAGTGCCTGTCTGAAAGGTGATTGTACATCTTGAACAAGATGATAAAAGCAAAGTGCTCAGCAGTCCTCAGGGCGTAGGAAACACTCCAAACATGCTTGGTGTTATTAGTTCCACTAGCATTAGGGTAGGTCGGTGCCTCTCAATCTTTTTTCATTGTCAGTCTCCTATAGAAGTAGTCCCCAGCCTTTTTGGCACCAGGAACTGTTTTTATGGAAGACAATTTTTCCATAGACCCAGGAGGTGGGGGATGGTTTCAGGATGGTTCATGCACATTACATGTATTGTGCACTTCATTTCTATTATTATGACATTATAATATATAATTAAGTAATTATACAACTCACCATAGATTGGGGGCCCCTGCCCTAGAGGGTCTTTTTAGATATTTTTTTCATCATTGCCCTCCTCCATGAAATTCCAATACCACAGATGGACTGTGTATCTGTTTATGTACTACATGTGTATCTGTACGTGTACTACATGTGTATCTATCTTTGTACGTAAAAGGAGTAAGATGCTTTTCTGGCCTTGCAAAAACAAATTTGCTTCCTTTGGGAGTGCTATTGTACCCTATTGAGGAAGGCATGGAATAAAGGTTTAGAATAGCCCTGGGCTGAACAGCTGATGTCTGGGCTCCCAGATGAGTATTTTCTATACCCATGTGTAATTGTCAGTGCCTTTCATTAGCACCTGGCATGCATCCTGTCCACTCTTCTCTGCCTTCTTCATAGCCTACCCCATGAACCCCTTTAAGACTGATCAGTCCTCCACCGCCACCTCCACATGGATCCCTTGTTCTCTTCTTGGCCCAACACTCCCTCTCCTTTTTGCCCTTCACAGCCTCTAAATTCCTATAACGTTGCCTGGATTTTTTTCTCTTGTACAATGAACTGGCTTCCCCTAGGAGTCAACAAGTCCCTTTTTTCCTCCTGAAAGGTAAGTACTGTTTAGAATTTCCTTTGTTTCCCAGAGCTAAGCATCTTACCTTTCCCCACATCAGATTAGGAGAACAACATGATGTTTCAAATATGAATAGTTTGCTTGCCAATTTCCTTTAGTCTTGATGTGCCACTTTGGTTTACCTATTTAGGCTCTAAGTAACCTGAGGACAGAGCTGGTACTCCAGAAAGTCATTTATTTTTTTGCCCAGCTCAGTGTTTTTAATTTGTGAAAATTATTTTGGAGCACATAGATATCAGGAGATTTCATGTAAAAAACCAAATATCTAGCTTCTTTTGAAAAATCTGAGGATCTCACCACACTGAGCACCACATTCCCACATGACCACACTGGGCCAGACTGAACTTCAGCTATCTCAGGTAGGCATGGGACACACAGGGCCCCATTTCCCGCACCTCTTACCTGGCCTTCTTTGATAATTGATGACAATTGGCTTCTCTAGACACTGAGTTCTCAACTCCTGTATCTAAGGAGGGTGTGTTTGAGGGGGAAGGATCCACCAATTCTGCTGTGATGACTCCTTATGATTATACCCTTAAGTGCATGGAGTTTACCTCCCAGGATGTGATCCTCACATGACCAATGCTTACCATAGCCTCTTCCAGGAGCACCTGGCAGAGAGTGCCCGTATGAACTCGTCATCTCCATGGATGTCATTTCTATGTTTTCAGGGTAATCTTCATTCTCTCTCCTACGGATGCCCAAGGGGCCATCACTCCTGTGATGAAATGAGGACTGGACTGAAGATGTTCTGCTGAGCACCCTAAAATCCCAAAATGATGGATCACTATCCAGCCAATAGTGTGATAAGGACAGTCATCCATCCATTAATCCACCCATCCACCCATCCATCCATCCATCCATTTACCCATCCATCTATCCATCCATCTATCCATCCATCCATCCATCCACCCATCCATCCATCAATCCACCCATCCACCCATCCATCCATTTATCCACCAATCCATCCATTTATCCATCCACCCATCCATCCATATGCCCACCCATTCATTCCTCAAATGCTGACTCAATGCCAACCATGTGTTAGACATGGGCTAGGGGGTGAGGACACAAAGGTGAAGACATGGCGTATCTGCCCCTGAGAAGCTCCTGGTACAATCTGGTACAGCTTCTTAGACACAGCTGTGAGGAATTATAACACAGTTGGAAACAGGTGAGGATCAGAAGACAGGCCCAAGGAGCTCACAGAAAGAAGAGAATCCTGGCTGAGAGTTGTGGGGGGAAATCTACATGAGAAAGAGACAATCAAGTGAGATTGAGAGGAGAGCATTCCAAGGCAAAAAAATAGCATAAACAAAGGTGTAAGGCCAGAGCTGAATATATAAAGGAAATGTTATGAAAATCAATTAATCTAGAGCAATGGTTCTCAACTTAATATATACAGCATCTACCAATTCCCAAGCCCTGTCCCAGACAATTAAATCAGAAGTTCTGAAGGCTTGGGCTCAGGAATCTGTTTTAGTTTTAAAGTTTCCCAGGTAACCAAGTCATTCTAAGGATCAGCCCAGGTCAAGAACCACTGATCTAGAGTAGAGGGTCAAGGCAGGAAGGGGATAGGAGAGATAGGAGGAAGTCCCATCTGGCATGTCTTTGGCTGGCATCTTACCTTAGCACAGTGTGCCCTCATTCATAAATGCTCCACACGTGAAGCGGTGTGGCCTTTCTCCCAGAGGTTAAGATGAAAAGCAGAGGAATAACAGGATCAAAGGTGTGTTTTGGAATGATGAATCAGGCAATGGGAGACAAGACCAAGGAAGATATTTTTTTCCCAGTCAAATTTGGCAGCGAGTGGTTGTATACCAACTTTAGTGACATTAATGTTAATAAGTTCTGATAACCCACTACCATCGGACCAGAGGAGGACATTTTTGACCTGGTCCTGTTAACCATGCTATTTAGGTCCTAAAGGTATTTTGACTACTGCACACCCAAATCCCATATCCTTGTTTCTAGAGATAAGTATAAGGCATCAGTTTTTATCAAGTTCATAAATGTTACTAGCAGAAATAGTCAATGCAAAATAAAACTCATATCGGTTAAAAAGTTCACATGTTAAAATTTGTCAGAGATTAAAACAAAAAACTGACATATAAGAATCACATCTTGTTGCAACATAAACATAGACAAACTTAACCCAGGAAAAATTAGATTTGATAGAACTAAGCCACCCAAACTAATGCCATCAATGTCTAGAATTGTACCTGGTAAAATTTGTCAAAGGCCAAAAATTGACAGAAGATCAAAATCTTTCGGGCAAAATTTAAACAAAATCCATAGCATCTGAACCAGAAAAATTGGACTTAATGTTTACAAATGGCCTTAAAAGAATACTGCCAATGGGAAAAACTATAATCAGTAAGATTTGAGGAAAATAACAATGCAGAATATCAATCTGCAATAAGGTATTTATGAAAAATAAATCAATTCTGGCAACAAAAATTTCAGTAAAATAAAAATGAAAGTGGAAAAATCAGAAGTGGTATAAATATCTTATATAAAAATTAATTGAGGAATTAAATTGACTTCATGGAGTTAGACCTTCAAAAGATTTTCTTGATAAAAACTCATTGCTGTTGATGTAATTCTGGTTAAAATGTTTGGATTCATGACTATCAAGTGTTAACCCTTACCGCACTGGCAATATGGCACAAGTCAAACCAGTGGGGCTGGGCGCAGTGGCTCAAGCCTACAATTGGCTCAAGCCAGCACTTTCGGAGGCTGAAGCAGGAGGATCACTTGAGTCCAGGAGTTCAATACCAGCCTGGGCAACATAGTGAGACCTGGTCTCTACCCTATCCCACCCCCCAAAAGACAAAACAAAAAAACCCCAGTGGGAATCTAGATGTCTTACAGCGATTGGTTTAGGAAGAAATGGGAGGGTGTAAGGTGATCCAAGCAAGAGGTGATGAAGATTAAGTTCAGGTAAGGACTTTAAGCCTTGGACTGAGTTATAGAGAAACTCATACAGGTAGGGTATGAGATCAGGTCATGGAAACCATCAGACGTGTCCCTAATCTAAACTGTACCAACCAAATTCCATTGACTTGATGATTTGGCACGCAGCCCCCACTACCAGTGAAGGGATATACCTAAACTTACCCCCTGGTCATTTCTGGGATCTCAGAAGAGCCATAATCATGACCATTCTCAGCATCTGGATAATCAGGTTCTCCCCAAATGTCTGGAGAGTTCTGATAGTCCTCAGCACCGGGATAGTCTGGTTCCCCCCAAAAGCGTGAAGAGTTAGGCTGATTTTTGGCACCTGGATAATCAGGCTCTCCCAGAGAGTCTGTGTATGGATTGATTCTGGAACCAGCATATTCTAGATTCCTTCGGGAGCCTGAATGGCTTAAATTGGTTCTGGAGCCAGGATAGTTAGAGTTGCTCTGAGTTCCAGGGTAGTCTGGTTCTTGTAAGGAGCCAAAATAATCTGGATTCATTCTGGAGTTTGCATGGTTTCCACTGCTTCTAGAATATGCAACATCAGGATGTTGAGATTGAGGGGAGTCTGGCTGTGGAGATGAGCCTGGGTGGTATGGATTCCCCTGCAATTCATTATAATCTGGCTCTGCTAGAGATCTGTGGTAGTCTGGACTGATTCTAGAGGTTGCAGAGAATGGATGGTTCCTGGTGCTAGGATGGTCTGGATTACTTGGAGATCCAGGATAATCTGCCTCTGCCAGAGACACAGGATAGTCTGGACTCATTCTGGAGCCTGCAGAGTATGGATTTCTCCTGGTGCTGGGGTCATCTAGATTGTTCAGAGGAGCAGGAAAATCTGGATAATCCTGAGTTTTTGAATATCCCTGCATACGGTTCTGAGACCCTGAATAGTCATGGTAACCTTGATCTTCCTCACTCCTGTTATTCCTGTAGTACGCACACATGCTGGTCCAAGTACAGATTCTTCACTCCAGTGTTAAAACATCCCTGCATTTGCAGTTACACAGAAATATTTTTTTAATGCCTGAAAAACAAAAAGAAAAGAAAAAGTCAGATTTTTCCCCCTCTCTTTCCTGCAGAGATTGCTGGTTATCTTCCAGTGTCTGTTCTCCTTTCTTTCCCAGTTAGGTACACAGATGCCTTGCATGAAGACTATGTTTCCCAGCCTCTCTTGCAGCTAGGTGGGGACATAAGAGTGGTGAAAGGATGTGAGCAGAAGCACTGCATATAACCTCCAGGTTGTGCTGTTTAAGAAAAAGGGTTATTCCTCCTTATCCCAGTCTCCTTACTTCCTGTGGGCTGGAATGTGGAAATGATGGTGCGCCATCTTGGGCCATTCATACAAAGGCAGCATCCACCTTGGGGACAGTCATACAACAGATGGAGGAGCATGGGTTGCTGTTGAATTCACCAAGCAGAGCCATCATATCAGCTCTGAATATTATGTGAGAGACAGACAAACTTTTATCTTATTTGATACATGCAGTCAAACTTATATCTTGAACAATACACTCTGTCAATTGGAGAGTGGAGGGGGAGCAATGAACCAAAGGATTGAAATGAACAAGGACTTTTTGAGCATTGGTTGCACATGAGGTTCTATGGTTCAAAGCATAAATTATTAATAGTATCAGTGCACAAAGGAAGAACAGTTAATGAGAACTAGAAGACTTGGGTAGGGAAACAATTACTACTATGACCCCTTCTGGTTTGAAAATATGACTTTATAAGTTCCATAAGTTCTAATCTATAGACACAAAGCAGATTTTCAAATTGGAAGTAGTAGAGTTTTAATTTCTAAGTGTGCTAGATATCTGTTGTTTTTGCTTGCCTGTTAGCCATTTCCCCTTCTTTTGGCATTAAGGCTCTGATTTTCCTCTGAGCATCCTTTCCCTCCCCTACTCTCATTCCAGGGGATGCAGGAAGGGCCGAGGGCATTCCTGACCCACTCCCAGTGGTCACATGACTCAGGCCTGGCCAATCAGCATTCACTATCCACCTGGCCTGTGATGCCATAAAATGAAAGTGGTTAGGAACCAGCCCTTGGCATAAGGTGGAACTAGGTTTGGCTTCTATTTGCTGGCTGTGTGGATTTGGGCAAGTCACTTCACCTCTCTTAGTCTGTTTCCTCACCCCTACAGTAGTGACAACAATATCTCATAGGATTGTGGTAAGGAATGCATGAGATAAGGCACGTAAAGCAGCCGGCATCAAGGAAGCAACCACTCAATGGAAGCTATTATTTATCACTGTTTCTATTTATGTATAATGTAACCCCTGGTAACTTTCAAAACAGGAGTCAGTGCACGATAAAAATCATGCAAAAACCAGGGCATGATTAAAGAAATAGGAAATGGCCAGGTGTAGTGGCACATGCCTGTAGTCCCAGCTACTCGGGAGGCTGAGGCAGGAGGATGGCTTGAGCCCAGGAGTTGGAGGCTGCAGTAAGCTATGATGACACCACTGCATCATACCACCAGCCTGGGTAACAGAGCCAAGACTCTGTCTTAAAAAGAAAAAAAGAAGAAGAAGAAGGGAGAAGGAGAAGAAGAAGAAGGAGGAGAGAGGAGGAGGAGGAGGGAGGAGGAGGAAAAGAAGAAAGGAAAGAAGAAGAGAAAAGAAGAAAAGAAAAGGAAGAAGAAGAAAGAAGAAGAAAGAAGAAAGAAAGGAAGAAAAAGAAAGAAAGAAAAGAAAGAAAGAAAGAAAAGGAAGGAAGGAAGGAAGGAGAAGGGAAGGAAGGAAGGAAGAAGGAAGGAAGGAAGGAGGGAGGAAGGAAGGAAGAAGGAAAGGAAGGAAGGAAAGAAAAGAGGAAACGTCATATAATCAGGTGGAGGAAGGAGCAATCCTACAAAATTCCTAGGGTGACACGGTAACTGTAACTGAGAAACAAAATTTGCCCTGAACTGCTTATTAGCCCAGACTAAAAGGGAATCATGACATGTTATCTAATAGTCACTATTTGGGGTGGGGTGGGGGGAGGGTGGGGGAAAGAAAAAGGAAGTATATCTGTTTTCAAGAGGGCCACACTTTATCCCAGGATCAATTTCTGAAAAGAATTTATCATGAAAACCCTTCTAAAGGTATCAGATAACAGCAAAATGAAGCCAGGACTCAGGGATGCCAGCAAGCAAACACTCAGAAGCTCTAACAACTCCAGAACAAGCCGCAGGAGTCGAGTCTGGAAGAGACTCTGGAGTCCCCTCCAGGTCACTGCAAGGAGATTTGCAGTAAGGCAATGGATACAGCCACTTCTGGCCAATAGGCTGTGAGCGTAAGAGACTTCCAAGCCAAAACTAGAAAAAAAACCCAAAAAACTCAGGCACAGCAGCTCATGCCTATAGTCTCGCAACTCCAGAAGATGGGAGGATCACCTGAGCCTAGGAGTTCAAGGCTGCAGTGAGCTGTGATCACACCTGTAAAGAGCCACTGTGCTTCAGTCTGGGCAACATAGCAGGACCCCATCTCTAAGAAAAAAAGAAGAGAAGAGAAGGGGAGGGAAGGGAAGGGAAGGGAAGGGAAGGGAAGGGAAGGGAAGGGAAGGGAAGGGAAGGGAAGGGAAGGGAAGGGAAGGGAAGGGAAGGGAAGGGAAGGGAAGGGAAGGGAAGAAGGGAACTAACCCTTCTGCTCCTTTTTCCCCTGCCATGGCAACCTGTGACATTCCAGATGGGGACGAGTTTGCCAGCCTGGATTCCCGTGTGACTACATGCAGCACACTCCATCCCCGTCCCAACCAAATCACAGTGGCTTTTCATGAACAAGAAATAAACTTATATCTGATAGGCCATTGAGATTTTGAGTGAGTTTATTTTGATACAGCAGAGCTTAGCCTAGCCTGACTGATATAAATCATTTTGGTCTCTGTTTTGAATGGTTGACAGATTTATATATATAATACATGCATGTGTGTGTGTCTATATACATACAATGTCTGATAGCTACTCAGATATATATACATATAGAATAGATAGAGAGATTGGTAGATGGATGGATGGATAGAGGTTATATGTGATCAGCGAACAATGAGCTTCAAATCTGTTGGTACAGTTCTCTGTTGTCTTGTCATTTGACCGGATCCTGGAGGGTGCTCTAACACTACCACCTGCACTGGAACAAATTCCTAAACAAACAAAAAGCTAAGCCCACAGCAAAGGATTGGGAAAGAGAGAAGGAAGTGACCACAAGGAAATAGTCTCATATTGATGTCAAATGAAGAGGGAGTAGCCTTATGAGAAGCTTACTGCTAGCTTCCTGTTAACTATTAGAGGAGCAAATGGAATATCCTGCCTGTTCAAAAAAAATGATAATTTTGCTTGGTTCCTTGGAAAAAACACAAAGAGGGTACTATCCTCTTTTTTTCTTTTCTTAGTTTTTATTTTTCTACCTCCTCAATAAGGGCTATTGAACTATTTACTCTAAGTTCTCCTTTTGCTCTCCCATTTAGGGTTTCTCACTTCACTGTGTCAATGGTTTTCAATCACATTCCCGAGCAATGATGTATCTTCTAAGGCTGTTAATTGGGGACTCCTTATTTGATGTTGCAAGGCCTCCTGGTTTGAGTAACTATCAAATGATAGTTATGGGTCATAACTATCTTGTCTTTGTCATTCAGCTAATACAGGAATCTTCAGGGGATAAACTACACCCTAGAGTATGGATGAAGTCACACTCAGCCTATATATCTGGCTGCTCTGCTGCTCTTAGTCCTTCCAACCTCAAGCTAAAATAAGTCGAGGCAACGAGCTCTGTTCTGCATCACCAAAGTGATCCACAAAACATACGGACTCAGCCAGGGTCACTAAGGGCTCTGATTTGTGTGTAATGACAAACAAATGGAAACTGCCCAAAAACCCATCGACCTGGGATGGGCTGAATCAGTCACAGGACATCTGCACTATGGGATATCATGGAGCTGTCACGAAGGACACTTTAGATCTCTGTGTGCCGGCAGACAGTGGCCAGCTATGATTCTGTGTCTAATCTCCTTTTCCCATCGCCTGCCCCAGGGCCAGACATGCAGACTGTAAACTGTTCAAAACTTAATTTTGGGCCGGCACGGTGGCTCACGCCTGTAATCCTAGCACTCTGGGAGGCTGAGGCGGGCGGATTGCTCAAGGTCAGGAGTTCGAAACCAGTCTGAGCAAGAGCGAGACTCTGTTTCTACTATAAAGAGAAAGAAATTACTTGGCCAACTAATATATATAGAAAAAATTAGCCAGGCATGGTGGCACATGCCTGTAGTCCCAGCTACTCTGGAGGCTGAGGCAGTAGGATAGCTTGAGCCCAGGAGTTTGAGGTTGCTGTGAGCTAGGCTGACGCCACGGCACTCACTGTAAACTGGGCAACAAAGCGAGACTCTGTCTGAAAAAAAAAAAAAGGAAAAGAAAAAAAAAAACCTTAATTTTGCTAATTAAAGCCATATATTACCTGAAAGACAGGAAAGAGAAAAGAGCTTTGTAAAACCCCAAACCTGACCAGCACCAATGCAGAAAGTTGCCCCATAAAAGGCAAAGACAGGGCACAACTTCTCATTTTGGCTGTACATGTTATCTTCTAAAGGGGTGAACTTTTTGTCGTGTCAACACGTGACAAGGTTAACCTTTCAACCTAACGTGACAAGGTTAACCTTTCAACCTAAATGAAATCAAGTTTCTTTGTGCCACCAACAATCCCCTAAATGATAAAAGATACACATTTAAGACCCACGGTCAAGACTATAAAAGTGATTCTACAGGAACTCTTAACTAGTTCCAAAGAACCATCATCTATTTGAGTTAAAATAGATCAACCAAATATTTTTTAATTGTTTTTGTATGGAGGGGGAGAAGGAAAGAATCTAGAGTCACCAACATTTTATTTTGCCAAATAAGGACATTAAAAAACAATGACAGCCAGCACAATTGATTATCACCATTATTGCATAAAACATTTTATGGATATTTTTTTTAAAAGAGAGAGGAACCTGATCTCAAAAGGATGGGCAGGGCTGGGCATGGTGACTCACACCTATAATCCCAGCACTTTGGAAGGCCAAGGTGGGAGGATCACGTGAGGCCAGGAATTCAAGACCATCCTGGGCAACACAGCAAGACCCTATCTCTATAAAAAACAAAAAGATAAGCTGGGTGTGGTGGCTTGCACCTGGGTGTGGTGGCTTGCACCTGGGTGTGGTGGCTTGCACCTGGGTGTGGTGGCTTGCACCTGTAGTCTCAGCTACTAGGGAAGCTGAGGCAGGAGGATCAATTGAGCCCTGGAGTTTGAGGTTGCAGTTATCTATTAGGATGCCACTGCACTCTAGCCCAGATGATAGAGCAAGACTGTGTCTCAAAAAAATAAATAAATAAAATAAAAAAACACAAAAAAATTTAATTTGAAAAGGAAGGGCATTTCATTTAATTGAATAAATTTAGTGTTATGAAAACTTACTTTTTTACCCTTACTTTTCTCACTTTGTCCCAAATAGATGCAAACTTTGCACAAACCAGCTTGGTCTTCGGGTGCGGTTGGGAACAGCTGTAGTCACATGTCCTTGTGTTTTCTCCCAGGCTGGCTGTTGATAGGAGCTGGGCTATAACAGGGGTTATAATCTCTGACGCTGGTCTGAAGTCTGAATATTCCAAATTGCTGACTGCAGGCACAGCCTCCTGTCCTGGAAATCAGAAGACAGAGGACTTTGACTTCCACAAAAGACAGTCTCACACCTTACGGCCCAGTCAGGTACACTTCCAAGTGGAAAACGCTAGCTCGAATGCCTCCTTGGTTTTTTTCTGTCTTAATAATGTGAAAGAAACATTAGACAACAGTGAAGCATAAGGGATACAAGAACAAACATTAACAAATACTGATCTTTTTTTCATATTAATTCCAGAGTTGTTTTTATTTTACCCAAGAAATAAAACATTACTGGTAAACCTGTCTCATGCCTCTCCCTAACCCAGTCTTCCACCAATTCCCCTGCCCTTCCCCATCTGGAAGCTACCACTCATGAATGTGGTGTGTGGCTTTGCAGCACCCGTTGCTCATACTTTGACCACCATTAAGAATTGCATTGTGTCTCCCCAAAAAAAGTATGTTGAAGTCCAAGCCCCGAGTGCTTCAGAATATGACCTGATTTGTAAGTAGGGTCTTTGCAGAGGTAATCAAGCCAAGATGAGGTCATTGGAGTGGGACCTAATCCAATGTGACTAGTGTCCTTATGAAAAAGGGAGATTGGGACACGAACACACAAAAACACAGATCATGTGAAGATTGGAGTTATCCTGCCACAAAGCAAGGAACAGCTGGGGCTACCCGGAGTTGGAAGAGGCAAGTAAGAATCCTCCACGTTCAGGTTTCAGAGGAACCATTCTCCTGCCAAACCTTGATTTCAGGCATCTAGCCTCCAGAATGGTAAGACAATATATTCTGTTGTTTAAGCCGCCCAGTCTGTGGTGCAGCCCTAGGAAGCTAGCACAACCACATGTGTGAGTATCAATATGTGACAATATTGTAGTTTCATGCCTAAAAGTTATACATATCTTTTATATATAATATATAAGATTATTTATAATTATATATATTTTAATATGGGCTATATAGAATAGATAACAATATATTCTATATGTACTAGAATATATGGAATATGCAGAATCCATAAGAATATATTATATATGATTATATATTAATATATAATATATTCCACATATAATTTTATGTTATACATAATATTTATATATCTTAAACTATTATATAACATATAAAATGGTATATATAATTTATATTAAAAATATATAAGTAGCCTACTCATTTTCACATTGTCATCCCAGAAGGACAAACAGGAATATCCCTCTAAATTCATCGTTCTTCCTTTTCCCTAGATTACAGCCAATCACAGAGCTGTACACAACCTGCAGCAAGGCAGTGCCAGAAGTTAACATAGAAAACCAAGAATTGCTGCATGAGCCTCCGTTAAAGCAGGTTTTCTCAATCTCGGCACTACTGACGCGGTGGGCTGGATGGTCCTTTGTTTGGGAGGCAGGGGACTGTCGTATGCATCGTAGGATGTTTGGCAGCATCTCTGTCCTCTGTCCTCTAGATGCCAGTCGTACCTGCCCCAACTCATAACAACCAAAAATGTCCCAGGCATTGCCAGATGTCCTTTGGGGGGCAAATCACCACCACCACCCCCATCACCAAGTTTGGGAAATGGTTGCGTTAGGCTGAGATTAGCATGGGAAGACCTCAGGGCTTTTCCAACTCTCCAAGACTATGATGTAAAGAAAAATTCAGATGAAGAAAGAAAAAGGAAGTTAAGCAGAGGAAAGATTTTTTCATTAAAGAGAAAGAAGAGGACATTTTAGATGAAAGTGAAACCCAAATTAGGAAGTGAAATAGATAAAGTAAGAAAATGTACTTCTGAGACGTCCTAACTTCCATTGCTTACTTTGAGCCAGGTTATTAAGTAGAATGATATACATGCATGCTCTCACTTAATCTTTTATTTTTATTTTAGAGACAGGGTCTCCCTCTGTTGCCCAGGCTAGAGTGCAGTGGCACAAACATAGCTCACTGCAGCCTCAAACTCCTGGGTTCAAATGATCCTCCCGCCTCAGCCTCCAGAGTAGTCGGGACTACAGGCACACATCACCATGCCTGGCTACGTTTTTAAAATTTTTTGTAGAGATGGGGTCTTGCTATGTTGTCCAGGCTGATCTTGAACTCCTAGCCTAAACTCCTGGCCTTAAGGCAATCTTCCTGCCTCAGCTGCCCAAAGTGCGGGGATTATAAACATGAGTCATGGCACCTGGCCTGCTCACTTAATCTTCACAAGTGTAGGATGCTTCACGCTTCCATTTTACAGATGAGGACACTGAGGCTTAGTAGGACTCCACAACTTTTCTGAGTTCTTATAGATGGTAAGCAGGCACAAGAATTTAAATATAAGCTGAGTGAGTTCTTAACTACTACATTTGACTGACTCACTCACTTTTTTATTTACTTACTTAGTTACATATTTTGAAAACTCAATTACGATTGCTCAGGCAGAAAGAGAAATAAAGAGAGAGTTTTTTTCCCCTATTAAAGATAGAAAATAAAAACAAAAGGGGTCTGGTCCAGTTAAAAAGAAGCCTTCTTTATGGAAAGGAAAACAGTGAACAAAACTGGGTGAAAGGGACAAGAAATTTCCTGACTCACAGTCATTTCAAAATGAAAATCAGTTTTAAAAAAGATGTAAAAGACTAAAGCACTGTGTCTAGAGGAAAGGAGGAAAGAAAAAATAAGCGGAAATAAGCTGACTGTGTAAATACTTTCCCTCATGAACAAACTCCAAATAAGCGTCAGAGGCTTTCAAATAAATCACAATTAGCAACAATCAAAGTTCATTGAGTTTTTGAATTGTGACATTTACTTAAAGCTGTAAAGCAAGCACAGTGAAATTGTCATTGTCGTATTGAACAGATATTCATCACAGCAATAAAAGGAAATTTAAAAAACCAAGATTGGCCGAGCACGGTGACTCACACCTGTAATCCTAGTGCTCTGGAAGGCCAAGGTGGGAGGATTTCCTGGGAGACCAGCCTGAGTAAGAGTGAGACCCCGTCTCTACCAAAAAGAATGAGCAGGGGGGAAAAAAAGAAAAACCCAAGCCAAGCATGTGGCACACCCCTGTAGTCCCACCTACTCGGGAGGCTGAGGCAGGAGGATCACTTGAGCCCAGGAGTTTGAGGTTGCTGTGAGCTAGGCTGAGGCCACAGCACTGTACCCGGGGCGGCAGAGTGATACTCTGTCTCAACAAAAACAAACAAGACAATTGAACACAACCTCTTCACAACCCCCGCACCTTCATAAAAAATTAAATAAGTAAATAAAATCCCTGAACACATTGCAAATCTCCACCTCCACCTGACAAAGGCAGCCGACAAACGTGATACTGTCATGCCCGCCTCCTCCACCTGAGCACCAAGGAGCAAAGAGGAGGCAGAACCTGGGGGTTTTAAAGAGAGTGAGGGAGATTCCCTTGGTGATCCAGAAGGAGGTATTTCCTAGGGATCCCAGAAAAACTAGACAGTAGGGCACAGGTTTTTTTTTAAAAAAAGGCTCAGTAATTCTCCACCTTCATCCACCCACCTTAAAATTCTTCAGTGGCTTTTCACTGAGTTTAGTATAACATCTAAACTACTTACTATGGTCTGAAAAGTACTCTGTGAGCTGGCCCCTGCCCACCTCTCCCCTGGCTCATCATTCTGTAAATCAAGAGTCAGCACACTCTTCTGGAAAGGACCAGAGAGCATGTATATTCAGCTTTGTGAGCCATCTGCCATTGTAGTACAAAAGCAGCTACAGACAACACAATTGAACGAGTGGGTCTGTGTTCCAATGTATGGACATTAAAACGTGAATGTCAAGTAATTTTTGCGTACCACGAAATATTCTTCTTCTTTTGACTTTTTTCAACAATTTAAAAATTATAAAAACCATTCTTAGTTCATGGGTTCCCTTTGAACTTCAAGCTGTAGTTTGCTGACCCCTGTACCAAACAGGCTAGCCTGTTTTCCTGGGTCATGGGCTTTGCACATGCTGTTCCCCTGGCTGGAATGCTTTGCCCTCCATTCTGCTTGGCTAACTTCTCATCTTTAAGGTCTCAGCTTAAAGCGTACTTTCACAGAGAGGCTTTCTTTATTCTCCCACATCCAAATAGTTCCCCTTAAGAGTAAATCTGGGGCTGGGCCCGGTGGCTCACACCTGTAATCCTAGCACTCTGGGAGGCCGAGGCAGGAGGATCGTTCAAGGTCAGATGTTCGAAACCAGCCTGAGAAAGAGCAAGACCCTGTCTGTACGAAAAATAGAAAGAAATTAATTGGCCAGAAAGAAATTAATTGAGGCAGGAGGATCCCTTGAGCCCAGAAATTTGAGGTTGCTGTGAGCTAAGCTGACTCCGGCCTTCCTGGGGCAACAGGTGGCCTCTTGACTCAAAAGAAAAAAAAAAAAAGAGTAAATCTGGTATTATCTTGCCCTTTTTCCTATAGGATATATCACTTTGTATTAATAATTAAATATTAACTTTGTGTACTCATTTTCAATATCTGTCCTCCACTACATTGAAAGCTCTGTGAGAGTCGGGCTTATTCTGTCTGCTCACTGTATCCCCAGCGTCTAGTACCATGCCTGGCACATAGGAGGCACTCAATTCATGTTTGTTACATGAATAAATGAATGAATGTTGCTGCACAAAGTTCCCATTCATCTCAACCTGATGCCTGATGCCCATGCTGGTGGTTGCCACCCTTAGCCGTTGGGGATGGGTGCTGTGCAGACTGGCATGTCCCATGCCTAGGTCCGTATCTGGCACAGGAATGAGATTTTCTTCAAACCTATCCCATTTATAAATTGAGGGTTTGGATTTAGTTTAGGAATTCTTAAATGGATAATTTCCCTCATGGAAAATAACAAGGTATTTCCTAGCAATACTCACTTCCTTTTTTTTTTTTTTTTTTTTTTTTGAGACAGAGTCTCCTTGTTGCCCAGGCTAGAGGTGAGTGCCATGGCTCAGCCTAGCTCCCACACCTCAAACTCTGGGCTCAAGCAATCCCTCTTCTCAGCCTCCCAAGTAGCTGGGACTACAAGGCATGCACCACCATGCCCAGTAATTTTTTCTTTTTTTTTTTATTT